TACCCCTACAAAAAAAGCCACAATATTATTGTGTGCATGCCCAGAAGCAGCTGTATCCCTTCAAGTGTTACAAATGGATGCTCTCACATTACAAAATAAGAAAGTCAGACAATACACTCATCATTTCAGACAGTGAACAGACCCTTATCCCAATTATGTCAGTTCACTTCCTCCTTTCTGCAACGCAGTGTATTTTTAGTTCCGGTTCACCTTTAAATGAATGGGACACTTCTCTAGGAAATTTAAAAATAAAAATATTAAAGGGTCACGAAACACATTTTTTGAGGTGTTGACAGTCGTATATGTGTCCCACACTGCTAAAAATACTATCAGGACACCTATATTTCACTAAAAAGTGTAAATTGGTTGTTTTTGCGTTATTTCAAGCAAATTCGTACTTCCTGTTTGAAACTAATTTTTGAAGCTGCGTCACGGTCATGACATAATAGCGTGTATTTCAGCGTGCAGACTGGGCGTCTGTGCTAGAGTGAGTCTTATTACGTCTTACAGTGTGATGCATTAATGCATGAGTAAGGCTTGGGTCAAACCAATCAGCGCGCTCTATTGTGCAACTTCATTAATATCCATTAGTGTCACCGTGTTTACACCACAGAGACGCCAAGTTGCGTTGGCAAAACAAGCGTGAAGTGTTGCTTTTATAGTTTGCTGCAGTTAAGTTTTGTTTTCATTTTCTCTCTGTGAGAGCTCAGCTGGAGTCACGCGTGGATTAGTGTACGAGACGCTCGACAACAATAACTTGCGTGTTTAAGGAGGATTATTGTTTACCTGAGAGCTGTTCTCATCTGCAAACGCTGAGATCCGGATTCGCTTGTAGTATTCTCTCCATAAAGACGCGGCTCTAGTTGCTGGTGATTGTCCTGTCTCTACAGATTTGGTAAGTGAGCGACCAGTGCTCTTTGTTTATTCAGTTTGTTCTTATTGAATTAAGTTAACTATTGCACTGAGTGCAAACATGTTAGCACCGCATTTTGTGGCCGGAATAACACACGCGGCTTTCTGACGCTACCTGCTGTGTGCATCTAAGTTTCCGGGAAATGCGGAGGGTTTTTTTCTCTCATTCGCCGTGCGGTATCAAACATTGCAGGAAAAATACACGCTTAGAGCAGATCCTCGAATCAAATATCTCGTTTGTCGCGAGGGGCATGAATGAATTCCCTGAATGAAAGAGCCAAACTGCAGTTAAAGTCCAACATTTAATAACTTGGCAAATAATTTGACTACAGATGTCCATGTAGGTTAAACACCATCACTTTGTCTGTGTGTATTTTGACTGAAACTCGCGCGTGTCCAAATAGACACTCCCACACCATCCCACTTTAGTTCCTCCGACACTCCCCCCTAAACAGAGCTGGACACGCCCACTTTTCTGACTTTTTCCAAAGTAGAGGTGTGAAAACACCCTGCTGAAACGAGGGGGTTTCATGGCCCTTTAAGATTGCACGATCTGATTTAACACTATTATTGGTATTGGCCATGTGTCCAAATGTGTCTCTTTCAATACTGAATTGTTTTCTGAGTTTGAAAATGATTAAGTTGTTAAGAACATGAATAAGCTATGGTTTATCAGGGAAAGCATGTGTTTGCAACATTTCCATTATGTCTACAAATGCAACCAGTTTCATCATTTATTATTTACTGAAATATTAATGTTTTGTTCAGTTTCTTCATTTGAATGAATTATGTCCTACCGCCACCTTTTGTAATAAAAGCGTACCAAACCGAACCGAACCGTACCACTCAGTGGAAACGGGCCATATGGGGATTTCTATGTAGGCGGAAGTAACGACACACTGCATGGAGTGAAACCGGACGCCATGTGAAAATGGTCTGTTACTGGATGATAAACATTATGGTATATTTACACACACAAACATCAAATACTCACCCAAAGGTGCCCTGTCCGATCTTCGCCAGCTTCTCATATTTGGAGAATTCATCACAGAAGGGAAACTCGACGCCATCGTAGTATTTGGACATGATGGCGGTCTCTCTGTCCGGCCTGAACACAAACAACACAAATACACACTCATGTTTTACAACAAGGCGATATTACTTCATTCCGCCTACACATATCACGCTAAGTACAACTACAAATCCGCTATTTACTGATTTATGTTATAATTAAGCTTGTTTTAAAGAACTATTTGGTCTTTTATGACGCTGTTTTGAGTGTGTGGATCACTTCGCGTTTTCTTTCGGCCCGACAAAGACACAAATCCAGACCCCCACACAAACATCACATTTACAGCGTCGCTTTGGAGACTAGCTATGTTATAGCAGTACAAATGTGTGCTTTGTATATTAAAATGTAATAAAATGCGAGATTTAACAGTGTAAATGAACGTTAAGTGTATAAAATTAGTAAAATATTCGTACTTTTCACCGCCGCCAGAGCTTCCGGTTTTGTCGCGCTGCATCCTTGCTGTTCCTCTGCGGTTCCCAGGACGGATTCAGCGGCGCAAAAACACGTTACCACCACCTGCCGACCGGAAGACAAACAATGATTACGTAAAGCTATTTATTTGTTTATTATTATTTCCACTTTTTTCAAACCTTCAAATGATAAACAGTCATTTCAACTTCCTTTGTTAAACATATATTATACAGCAGTAAAAAAGGTTTAATATTATGTCGTTGTGAAATTAGCTTTACGTAAATTGACTCCCCTGCATGTGTTTTAAATTGTATTAGTATCATGTAATGCTTTGTTTTTATTATTTATGTTTGTTAGTATTATTATGTGCTATATTGTTAATTATATAGGTAACACTTTACAATAAGGTTTCATTAGTTAATGTATTTACTGGCGTGAGCTAATTCTGAACACTACTTGTACTGCATTTATAGATCATTAGTTATTGCACTGTAGGTTAAACTAACAATGAACAAGTGTATTTTCATTAACTTATGTTGACTAACATTGATAAACACTGTAATAAATGTATTGTTCACTGATTGTTTATGTTAGTAAATACATTTACTAACATTAACTTATGCAACCTTATTGTAAAGTGTTACCCATATAATTAACAACATAGTTCGTAATAATAATATTAACAAAAACTAAATAATAATTCAATTCACCTTTATTTGTATAGTGCTTTTACAATGTAGATTGTGTCAAAGCAGCTTCACATAGAAGATCATAGTAAATTGAAATAGTATCAGTTCAGTTTTCAGTGTTTAAGTTCAGTTCAGTTTAGCTCAGTTTAGTGTGGTTTAATAAACACTACTAAGAGTCTAAACCAGGGGTCATCAATCCTGGTCCTGGAGGGCCGGTGTCCCTGCAGGATTTAGCTCCATCTTGCCTCAACACACCTGCCTGGATGTTTCAAGTATACCTTGTAAGACCTTGATTAGCTTGTTCAGGTGTGTTTGATTAGGGTTGGAGATAAAATCTGCAGGACACCGGCCCTCCAGGAACAAGTTTGGTGACCCCTGGTCTAAACACTGAAGAGCAAATCCATCAATGCGCAGCTCTACAAATTCTAAAACATGTAAGCCAGTGGCCACAGCAGCGAGGAAATAACTTCACCAATTGGCGAAAAGTGAAGAATTAAAAAAACTTGAGAGAAACCAGACTCAGTTGGGCACGACAAACTGCAGTCAAGGCGCCGGAGGCTGGACCTCGGCGAACACTCGTCAGTCCCTGAAGAGTCACAGGAATCAGTCCCATGCTCTCCACTCGTCAATGACCACCACAGCAGCCAGGATACAGCCTGGTCCAGGATTATGGAAAACTTGTGATCATGTCATCGCTGGTCTTGGATCGAATCAGTGACTGCATAGTCTGAGGGCCTTGGGATGAGTATCCCCAGGTGAAAATAGAGAATAAAGATAATAATTAGCGTAGCTGCTCCTTATAGTGTATATAAACGAGATGCAAAACCTGCTTGGAGCACATTCATGTATCATACCGCTAAGTGATAATAATAATAACATAAATAAAGCATTAAAAGATACTAATACAAATAAAATACATGCAGGAGAGTCAATTTACATGAAACTAATTTCACAATGACATATTACTTTTTTTTATTGACGTAAAACACAAAGACAATGCAGCGAAATTCAAATGAATATTTTCATCTAAATATACAGAACTGAGCGCAAATAATAAAGACAATCAACAAATAAAATAGTAATAAAAATAAATAAATTACAAAACATAGAATAAACAAAATTACACTACAGGGGCTTCATTCATCTCTTTATTTATCCAGGGTCTTCACAGCGGAATGAACCACCAACTTATCCAGCATATGTTCTACACAATGGATGCCATTCCAGCTAAAACCAATCACTGGGAAACATCCATACACACTCATTCACACACATACACTACGGCCAATTTAGTTTTACCCAATTCACCTGTATCATGTGCTTGGACTATGGGGGAAACCGGAGCACCCGGTGGAATTCCGGTTATTCTCGCTTTTTGACATGGTGCGTTATCCCGCTGGTAGTAGCCATCAGAAGATGAGTACACTGTGGTCATAAAGGGATGGACATGGTCAGCAGCAATACTCAGGTAGGTTGTGGTGTTGACACAATGCTCAATTGGTACTATTGGGCCACTAAGTGTGCCAAGAAAATATCCCCCACACCATTACACCACCACCAGCAGCCTGAATTGTTGATACAAGGGAGGATGGATCCATGCTTTCATGTTGTTGATGCCAGATCAGACTCATCAGATCAGGCAACATTTCTCCAATCTTCTATTGCCTAATTTTGGTGAGCCTGTGTGAATTATAGCCTAAGTCATACATATATACATATATATATATATATATATATATATATATATATATATATATATATATATATATATATATATATATATATATAAATAAATGAAATGCGTACATTTACTACGAATTAATGCAGACGCAAAATTGAACTTCTTACATATTTTCATATAATTTTTAATCTGGTATGTACAGTACCTGGAACATTTTAATAGCACCTTATGACACTTTAAGACAAGAGCGGTATCAATTTTATTGATCCAAACCAATATTTACTCACATTAGATTTTATATTAATCCTCCAGTCTTTCACAGATGACAAAAACAACCCATAATAAGTGTTGTAACATACTCAAAAAACCCATTTTAATTTAATCTATACCAGGGGTGTCCAAACTCAGTCCTGGAGGGCCGGTGTCCTGGAGAGTTCATCTCCAACCCTTATCAAACACACCTAAAGCAGCTAATCAAGCTCTAGCTCGATACACTAGAAACTTCCTGGCAGGTGTGTTGAGGCAAGTTGGAGCTAAACTCAGCAGGGCACCGGCCCTCCACGACTGAGATTGGACACCCCTGAGCTATACACTTATTAGAACATAAAATACTACAAAACAGTGTCATTACAAATGTAAAAAGTCAGATTTCATTGAAAAATCATTTGATGTATATTATATATATAGACAACAAATTCAACGTGTTTATGTGGCATGAACAAATGTGGAAACCTCAGTGTTTACATGCACTGAACATCATCTTTTTGCATGTATAAAGGCAAATTTCCCCATGCATGAGTAAGAAATCATATATTACTACATAATTAGAGAACAGTGTTTTATATATGGCACATTATTCATCAGTGCAATAATAAAAATACCACAAACACTGACAGACAGGCAACCTCTCACTGTCATTTTAGAGAAAGACACTGGTTTAAAACAAACTGTAGTGTAAAAAATGAAACAGAAATATGAACTCAATGCACCAAGTACGTCAAATCCAAGTAAACACGAGCAGCTCAAGTAGATTTGGATTGATGTGCCTTTTACAAAACCAAATTGGTCCGACGTACTATAAAAGTAGGAATTTTAGAAAAACACCTTGATGATTAGCAGTAATACTGAGCTGTGAGTAAGATTTTAGGCACTAGGTGGCGCACTTTCTGCAAGTCTGACACTGGAGAAGAGTGTATTAAGAGTTTAAAGCGGGATCCAAGTGTTTTAAGGCTCCTCCCACCAAGTGTAAGCTGCCTGTGATGAGGACGTGTATGTTCTGGGCCTCTCGAAGCGGCGCAGCTTTAGCGTTTATGCTAGGCTTGACAGGTATTGTGTGTTTGTTTGCGTCTGCCAGGACTGAGTCTCGACCCTGACTGATCCACTGCAGGGCGCTGAGGATGCAGGGGAATACCAGGGTGTCCCCGTGACGCTCAGCAACCAATGGCAGGCCTCCGCCAATCAGAAGCTCTGCCTCCGGCTTCTCCTCATGTCCATTTAGGACGCGCCAACTCTGCTGGTTATCCAGGCAACGGGTCAGCATGTTCTCCACAGAAACGTTGAAGTTCTGTTGGTCTGAGGGAGAGGAGTGTGTTAGATAAATACCACTGTACTTTTTTACTTTTGTAATGAAGCATTATTATAAGAAATAAAAAAAAACTATAATTGATTTGAAACAATAGTCATGGAAAGGTTTTCAGCTCAAACAAACAAGTAATTACAAGACTAAAACTGATCAATACACAATATTTTGAAGAAAAATGTTAAGGAAAGAACTAATTTCATGTAAAAGATTTAATAAAATATGTTTTAATAAACTTGTGGAAATTAAAAATGATGTTTTATATATAAAATAAATACATGACAATAATATAAATTGTGATTAATCATATATGCACACATAAACATGCATTAAATATATAATGGAATATGCAATTTTCTTAAATGTATCTATTATTATTTTATAAATACAATTTAGAAACAAAAATATTTATAACAAATAGAAACTCTGATTAAAATAATTTAATATAAAAATTAAAACATTAGTGCTGAGCAAAGATTAATTGCGATTAATCACATCCAAAATAAAAACGTTTACGTCTCATAATAAAAAAAAAAAAAACATTCAAAGGGGGGCTAATAATTCTGACTTCAACTGTATATTCCATATACATAACAGAATGTCATTTTCTAAAAATATTCCTTATTTGCTTTAAAAATAATGGAAAAGAATTAAATTCTAATAACAATATAAATAACATATACAAAATAAACAAACAATATAATAATAAATAAACAAATACAAATAACAATTTTATTATAAAATTATAAAGATGTTTAAATATTTGTTTAAAATATACCAAATATAAAACAGAATGTTTCTTATTTTAAAAGAAAAATTTATATTGTTGCAATTATTTAGGGCCATGCCTGATTGTGCTTTATTTAACACATCTAAAAGGCTGAATAAATGTAATATTAGTCCTACAAATACTGCACAAGGGTCTGACATTACTATTTTACTAAAACAATTCAATGCTTTAAAAAGCAAATAAATCTAATGTAATAGAGATGTTTTCTTTTGCCAGGCTCTGCTGTATACTTTAGTCAAAATGCATCCTAAAATGTGGAATATATATAGTCTTTCTTGAAGCAGCTGTAATGTTAATTACCTGTAATGAATGTACAGGACTCCTTACCTGCATTACAGGACGCGATGGCCTCTGTGATGTTTGGACAAAACACAGCAAAGTCAAAATGACAGGGCTGAAACACAGAAAGCATCAGCATATTAAACTGAATCTCGATGTGGTTCACAAGAGTCAAACGATTCATAAAATGAATGAATAACTCACTGCCAGCAGTTTGAGCATGGCGGCACAGTCTCTCTCTCCTGTAGCGTTGAATAAGAGAACCCTCAGCACTGAACCTCTGCACACACACACACAAGCATTTTTAGACAGTGTTACTTTAAAATTACTATTATACTACTACTTTAAATGTTCATTCATTCATTTTCCTTCAGCTCAGTCCTTTATTTATTAGGGGTCATCACAGCGGAATGAACCACCAACTATTCCAGCATATGCTTTATGCAACGGATGCCCTTCTAGCTGCAACCCAGTACTGGAAAACACCCAAACAAACATTCTCTCTCACACACACACACACACACACACACACACACACACACACACACACACACACACACACACACACACACACACACTACGGCCAATTAGGATAATCTAATTCACCTATAGTGCGTGTCTTTGGACTGTGTGGGGAAACTGGAGCATCTGGAAGAAACCCACGCCAGCACAAGGAGAACATGCAAACTCTATACAGAAATGCCAACTGACCCAGCCGGGACTCGAACCAGCGACCTTCTTGCTGTGAGGCGACAGTGTTAACCACTGAGCCACCATGCCGCCCTTACTTTAAAGGTTTTATATATTTATTCATATTTACATGAAAACTACAAAAATTACCTGAGTGAAATAAATCATTTATACAGTTTTAAATATTTCATTAAATGTAAATAAGTTTAAATAGTTTGAACGTCTATTAATAGTTTCTTAAGAGTTATTAGTATCTTAATTTTACTTTAAAATGAAGTCACAATTACATTTAAAATTGTATTATGAAACAAATAAATACACAAATAAATAAAGATGAAGGCAGTCTCACCCTGCGTTCCTCTCGTGTTGTGTTGCGACCTCATTGAACCAGCGCACACAGGCCTGCATGCTGCGTGTGGTATGAGCTCCATCCATGTAATAGGTCACAGGACCGTGTTTTAGTGTCTGATTGCGTCCAGGCCACTCAGTCTCCGCAAGACCTGTCAAAACATTACATATGTTTACCACAACTGACAGATGCTTCAAGACTTCTTCATGGTCAATCTTCAACAAAATCTATTCTGTCCTCTGTTTACTGGTGATATCTGTTTTGGAAATGTGTGTTCCATGTTGCAAGGCTAGCAATTTTAGCGAATGACATGGCACAAATTGAGCATTTGAAGTGCTTAAGATGAAAAATATGAACTTTGTTGAATATTTGCGCCGTGTTAATCAATCAGGAGCTTGCTCTAGTAATTGCTGTCATCAGGCACGGATTGGCTAATCGGGAAGACCGGGAGAATTCCCGGTGGGCCGGTCCGTTTTTTTGAGAGGGTGCTCGCTGCAGAGCCATTTGAGGAGAGCTGAGCTCCAGCGAGGGGGAGCATGAGCTGTCGCTCCTCCTCCTGTAAGCTGTTTTAATGCGTACACCAACCCCACCCCTAACCCTACCCCCAGTGACATCACTCGTAGAAGAAGTGCAAAAAAGGTGGAGCTCAAGCTTAAGCTCCCCCTTGTTGGAGCTCACCTCTCCTCAAATGGCTCTGCAGCGAGCACCACTTGGTTTTTTTGGCCGCGAGGTCTGGTGTCCCTAGATCCAGAATCTGTTGCTCTCAGCAGTCACACATTTTAAATTAATTTATTTATTTACTTGAACACAGTCGCCTTATTCATTATTTTACCGCAGCTCTGCTCTTTTTATCTATTTTCTCGCAGCCTCGTGAGCAGGATGCACCCTGCAGGTTAATGATGATATAACTCAATATACAACTGTTGTGGTACAGCGGTTAGCACATTAGATTACGACGCCTCCGACCCGGGTTTGATCCTCGTCTAAGTAAACTATTTATTTTTTTCATTTTTATTGTTAAGACATATAATACTGTTAGGGTTGTTGAACATTTGAAGTTCTAAAGCAGCTGTTTTCTTAAAAAAAGACGTGATAGTGTACTTAGAAACTGAATTGGATATGTACTTATTTTAATATAGTCAGTCGTGAACTGAGGTGGGCCGGTCTGAGGCTTGAAACTCCAGGGCTGAAAAGGAGTCCCACTCCGGCCCTGGCTGTCATCCAGGCGCAGCTCCTGGACGAGTTTGTGAAAGTCACCAAGCTGGTGGTAACTCTGAAAGATCTGATGGACCCATAAACAGGGCTAAAACAAGTCTATGCCGTTTTTCAGCCTTCCATTTCACATAAAGCTACCCTCTCAGCAAAATCCATGTCAGCCAATTTGCAACGAAACTGGAGTGATTTTGTATCTGTTGTAAAGTTAATTTCACTCATTTTCCTTCGGTTTAGATCCTTTACCAACTTACCCAGCAAATGTTTTAACCCTGCATAACTCCAACTGGCCTAGCCGGGGCTCAACCCAGCGACCTTCTTGCTGTGAGGTGAAAGCTAACCACTCAGCCAATGTGAATTTCAGGAATAAAGCAAGTAAACTTAAAATGTTCAAGCATCTAATTATATGCAAATAGCACGATAGACCGCCCCATAAGTCTTTGTTTTGGTCTGTAACTCCGCCCATTGCCAGTTTAGCGAATTATATTTCAGCACTCGGTTTCATGCTGACCTAAAGCGTTGTGTTTTCACAGACCTTTGATCATTGCAGGACTGGGCTGAAACGCTGGAGCTGAACTCACACCGCTGAACTCCACTGGAGACGCTGGATCTGAGGAACAAACAGATTATAAACACACTGAAAAACCACTGTAAACTAATCAACATACGGTCACAAACACACACCTGTGAGGATGTGTCTCTGCAGCCATGTGTGTGAGAGCTGAAGAGCCAAAGACGCGTTGCTGCGCTGATGCTGACCAGCTAACCCCAAGCTGAGGGAACCCTCGCTCTCGTACTCATCCAGATCTGGACACACCGACAGCGAGCACTGAGAAACAGAGAGAACAATATGAGCAAACCATTTATGATCAGGTTCCTGAAGCAGAGTAAAAGATGCAAAATTATTATCTACGAATAGTTGATCAACTGTAATTAGGCCATGTTTCCTCCAGATGTTAAAGGCCCTATCAATTAAAGGGCCATGAAACCCCTCGTTTCAGCAGGGTGTTTTCAACCTCTACTTTGGAAAAAGTCAGAAAAGTGAGCGTGTCCAGCTTTGTTTAGTGGGGAGTGTCGGAGAAAGAAAAGAGGCTTGGTGTGGGAGTGTCTATTTGGGCGCGCTGACTTTCAGAGTCAAAACACACACACACACAGGGGACAAAGTGACAGTGTTTACATGGACATCTGTAGTCAAATTATTTGCCAAATTATTAATGTTGACTTTAACTGCAGTTTGGCTCTTTCATTCAGGGAATTCATTCATGCCCCTCGCGACAAACAAAATATTTGATTCGTGGAACTGCTCTAAGCGTGTATTTTTCATGCAATGTTTGATACCGCACTGCAAATGAGAGAAAAAAAAACTCCGCATTTCCCGGAAACTTAGATGCACTCGGCAGGTAGCGTCAAAAAGCCGCGTGTGTTGTTCCGGTCACTAAATGCGGTGAAAATCCTACTTGAGGTTAAAGTTTGGTTGTGGTGCTAACATGTTTACACTCGGTGTAATAGATAACTTAGTTCGATACAAACAAACTGAATAAACAAAGAGCGCTGGTCGCTCACTTACCAAATCTGTAGAGACAGGACAATCAACAGCAACTAGAGCCGCGTCTTTATTAACAGGAGACTAAAGCGAATCCGGATCTCAGCGTTTGCAGATGAGAACAGCTCTCAGGTAAATAATCCTCCTTAAACACGCAAGTTATTGTTGTCGAGCGTCGTGTACACTGTTAATCCACACGTGACGCCAGCTGAGCTCTCACAGAGAGAAAATGAAAACAAAACTTAACGGCAGCAAACTATAAAAGCAACACTTCACGCTTGTTTTGCCAACACAACGTGGCGTCTCTGCAGTCTAAACACTATGACAGTAATGAATATTAATGAAGTTGCACAATAGAGCGCGCTGATTGGTTTGAACCAAGCCTTACTCATGCATTAATGCATCACACTGTAAGACGTAATAAGACACACTCTGGCACAGACGTCCAGTCTGCACGCTGGAATACAACGCTATTATGTCATGACCGTGACACAGCTTCAAAAATTTGTTTCAAACCAGAAGTACGAATTTGCTTAAATAACGCAAAAACAACCAATTTACACTTTGTAGTGAAATATAGGTGTCCTAATAGTGTTTTTAGCAGTGTGGGACACATATACGACTGTCAACAGCTCAAAAAATGTGTTTTGGTGTTTCGTGACCCTTTAAAGAGGGTAGAAAAAATATATTGCAAAAAAAATTGGTGCAATAGTAAAAAGGTCTTAGAGGTGTAGAGCAGAACGAAACTGAAACCAAATCTTCAATGAATATTTAACAACTAGATTATTTTTATTATATAAACAATAAATGCTTAATGGGAAGGGGTGCACAAAGAAAGGAGGTTAAAGAGCCTCTATTATGGGTTTTTGAAAATGACCTTCTATGTAGTTGGAGACCCAGATAACCGAAATATGACCCTTTTTAATGTATAATAGGGGCTATTTAAAGTTGCTGGGTTACAGGAAGCGGCTTCCATCATCACCCAATGAGAATTCTTTAAATGCAAATCCTGCTGCAAGCAAACCCTTTATGCATCAGTGGCATTGGCTATATTTATGGTAACACTAGTAGCAAGTTTTCAATATATTATTTATATCAGCAAACCAACTGGAAATCTGCATTGTTGATATTATGGGTGTGTGATATTTATTCTCTTTTAATTAGTTACGCACCATGCATTGACAATTTGCAAATTACTATGGGAAAATAAAGATCTAAATGTTTACATTTTTCCCTGTTTGTTTGTTTGTTTTGTTTTTGTAATCAGGCTTAGAATAATTCAAATCAGTATTTTTATTTATCTGCCTATATATCAGTTATCAGCTTCATCAATCAAATAGTCAATAATAGGGATGGCAAATGTGATTGATTGTAACAGATTGTAACAGACCCCAGGTTTGCCAGTTTCAACACAAAAAAATTCCAAACAAAGCTGCAGCTGATCATTTGAGCATCTCAGAGCAACACTGCAGTCTTTAATACCTGAATAAAACTGTTTTTGAATGAATTAATCAAAGTTGTACACATTTTTTTTCTCACTGCAAAGCCAAAATCCTTGATTTTTAACAAATAAGGTGAAACCAAATGCGCAACACACTGGCTCAGTGGTTTGCACTGTCGCCTCACAGCAAAAAGGTCGCTGGTTCAAGTCCAGGCTGGGTCAGTTGGCATTTCGGAGTTTGCATGTTTTCCTCATGTTAGTGTGGGTTTCCTCCGGGTCCTCCAGATTCCCCCACAGTTCAAACACATGCGCTATAGGTGAACAGAATAAACTAAATTGGCCGAAGTGTATGAGCGTAAATGTGAGTGTATGGGTGTTTCCTAGTACTGGGTTGCAGCTGGAAGGGCATCTGCTGTGTAAAACATATGCTGGAAAAGTTGGCAGTTCATTCTGCTGTGGCGACCCCTGATGAATAAAGGGGCTAGGCCGAAGGAAAATGAATGAATAAAATTAAATGTGTGGAATTATGTGTGTGTTTTACATTGCATTGGAATAAGTCTGAGCTTGTTAATTTATTGCCATATCAGCAACTAATAACAAGATTAATATAGATAAAATCATATTACATAATAACTTCATATCTCAGTGAAACAGAATAAATGCATAAATAAAACGACAACAAATTACATAAAAAAGCTTAGACATAATTTCTCAAACATCTTGCTGTACATTTATATTTCTCACCCCAACTTCTTCTGCTCTCTCCTGAAGCACTTTCATCGGCCCGTCAGGCTGTTTGACTGTGAACGCAGGAACTCCAGGCTGAAATAAACATATGCTCTCACTGAATACCTTCAAAATCTCCAAGCTTTGAGTTTACAGTCACAACACACTAATCACCTTAAAAATCCCTCCTTTCTGCCAGGCGATTTTCTCAATGGTGTCTCCCAGAATGCTAGTGTGATCGATACCTAAAGACGAGATACCGCACACCCAAGGACGCCTAGCAAAACACAAGAACAGCAACACATTACCTATCAGGTAACTAATTACTAAACTATGATTTCTAGTACAGATTTAAATAAATGTAGATATTTTACACAGTGCCTTACTCCATTAGGAGTCTGCATATTTTAAATTCAGAATTACGCTCCACGGTTATGCTTGAACTAATGATATGATTCCTGACTACATGATTCAAATATTATGTTTTATCATCAATATATTGTCACAGTATATTATCACACAAATAAATTAAAAATAAAGACCACTGATTGGTTCATGACTGATGGGATTAAGTGAGCTCATGAAGAATGCAGATCAATGATTGGTTGATATGAGAGGAATGTGTAACTCTTCAAGCATGAAGGCAGATGAATGGAGATGAAATGGAGGCCACATTAGGCTGAAGCGGCACAAAGAGACAATTAGACACGGAACAGCGAAGCAGATGAGAGGAGGACAGTAAAAACTCTCAAGCTCAAATAATGCTGTGATACCTGATAATGTTGGTGCAGTCGTACGCTCCACCAATCCCGACCTCAATAACGGCCAAATCAACCTGTACAAGACACAAAGACAGAGAGTTTAGATTGAGATAATTAATAACAGTGTCATGTCCTTTAAGTTTTTTTTCTGAAACCTAGCACAAAAGATATAGGCTCTTAGGCCCTGTTTACACTAATACGTTTTAAGATTAAAACAGTGTTTTAGAATGAAATCGATCCACATCCACACTGGCGTTTCACCTATTGTTTCTGAACAGCTCTACATCCACACTACACCGCTGAAAACGCACATCACGTGACCACACACACTCTGGCTTGCACTGCAGCGTATGCGGACGTCTGAGCTCAAGGCAGTCAGCGGGTGCTTTGAGCACACCTGCCTAAGTGAGAGCAGCGCACATCAGACAGTTCATCAAGGATCTTCCTCTGGATTTCATCTCACTATAATTGTTAAATAGATATTTCATTAATCTTGTCTCTATCTAACGACTCTTTGGTCTTTTAAATCTATTACTTGTTCTCAGGCAACGCGTTTTGGCTAAGCGTAAAGATATGTTAAGATTAATTTATGTAACCACGTACACAGATTCTGCACATTTGACTAATATCTTGCATTTATTTCCAATATTGTATAAACTTATTTTACGTTTTACTTTTATAATGGCCATTATTTATTATTAAAACTGATTTTCAGTAAAACAGTGGCTGTTTTCTGTGTTTTTTAATGAAATTGAAAGGAAGCAATTATGATATAGCCTCTTTTCTGTTAGAAATATGCATGAAGATGACGGTCATATAAATATGTTGCTACACGACGCCTCAACATTTTTTGTGTCTGCCAAGTTGTTAATATCAATTTGAAAATAGGCAGTTCCCTATATCATGTTTTCATTATATTGAAATGATAGTGAAACAATGTAGCCAGCGTATGCCAATGACATTATAAAGTCCATTTAAAGATTTATCCGATGTGTTCTTGCGAGTTCGTCTTCCATATCAAACTTGCGAAGTCTGAACTTACAAGAAAAGGATGTAAGACTGAACTTTGTGTACTTAATATTGTAAAAAAGCCCTAATCGGCGAATGTCTGCAGCCCCCCCATGTCATCAATGGATGTCTCCATTTCCCCCCATTCACACTGACAGAGAGCAGCAGCATTTTAAAATGAAAAACGGCTTCTTTGGCATTTTCAAAACGGTCAATTTTCGGGGATCAAAAACTCTGGGTTAGTGTGGACGGAAGCTGTAACCTAGAAAAACTTTTGCATTTTAAAACTAAATAGTATGCATTAGTGTAAACAGGGCCTTAGACATTACAAACATGAGCTGTGGTGAATAATCTTTTCAAGAAAATTGATTCTGCATTGATTCAGAGATCTTCAAAAATGCATCTCTATTTTCTCTCGATTCAACTCTGACAGCAGAAGGTGTCCAACGCTAGTTTTTAACAGAAGACAGACAGAGAATGTAGTTTTAGGTTAATATTGGTGTCAAGTTCTTTACGTTTTTTTTCTTTTTGTAGTAAAACCTAGCATGACAGCTGTACCCTTTCAGATCTTACAGATGTGCAAAAAAATTCTATGAGAAAATTATCCTGCATCAGTTTTCAAAATGCATCACTATTTATTCTGAGCTTTGTTTTTAACAGTAAGCAGAGAACGACTGTATGTGGAGTATAAAACACCACCTGCTCTAAAAAGCTAAGATCAGAATCAACTCAGTGGAGAATAGCAATGCATTTTGAATATCTCAGAATCAATTTCTCAATTGATCTTTCACCACAGCTCTAACAGACAATGAAATAAATACTAATACAGGTAATTTAGATGATTAACGCTGTTCACCTTCTCCTGAAGAAAGACGTGGAAGGCCAAGATAGTGAGAAAGCGGAAATAAGCAGGCATGCTGCCACCATGGGCATCCTGAAAGATACAACACAAATGTTATTAATCCATACAAAAGTATAATAAATATTTGTCTGTGCTTTGCATTATAAGGTTTTGCAATTCTGTTATAAACATTTCTTTTTGGATTTTCTGTCAATAAAGATTGTTGAGTATTGTTATGCTGGCATCAGGGCTGGTTTAGGCTGAGGTTATAGACAAGTGGTGATAAGTTTTTGTTTTCATGATCCATTTAAAAGGAAAAAAGGGTGCTTTTATGAATAGATCACAAAATTATCCTCTCATATTATTAATTTCAAAAAGAAAAAACATGCTGTTGCTGAGATGCAGATATGTTGGGCTACTGCTTTTTTAGAACAATTTTTTGTTGAAATAAAATGAAAACATTTCGGGGGTTAAATGTCGAAACAAATGACACCGTTTCTTTCCTCACATGACAGACATGCTTTGGTGATTACGCCCTTACAGCAGCAGATGCCTGCCGTTTACACTTAACGCAATTAATATGGAACAAATCAAGCAGTCAGCGAAAAAACTTCCACTCCTTTCACACAGCATTACAGCTCAGTGCAGAGAAACAAGCTGCTTCATTGTTTCAATCTACAGCAACTTTGCAGGTTCTTTAATGCACACATAAATCTTCTTTAAAAATAATACAAAAATCACAGACATGAGTTTACACTTGCAGCAGTACTATTACATTAATTAGCCCACATACATTTTGCATTATTTCATAACAAAAGTGTTCATAATAACAGTGTCGCATAAACAGAATTTATATCAATCCATCTTATGAACACCTGATGACAGTAGTAATTATAAAACAAACATCACTACTTGCTGTACTCTTTTTATACCCATATACACTTATTTAACAACATACTTTACATGTCAGTTTGCACAATGTCAGCTGCACATACAATGTTGTATATAGTAATATACCTTTACATACACTGGTCAATTTGTATATTTGCATTCACTATTTACATTTATTTTTAAAATATATTTATTACCTGTTTTTTTGTTCTTGGTCTCTGTAATTCTCATAAAAAAAATCATCATATGTGTGAAAATACCAGGCAATAAAGCTCTTTCTGAATCTGATCATTTGATTTAAGAAAACATTTGAGTTGACATGAGCTAAATAATGACCCTATTGTCTTTTATAGGCCGCTTTACAGCCATATTTTATCAATATGATGAACTTTCTACATTTATTTTCCTGTTTATTACTGTGAAACAGCTTTACAATTATCTGTATTATATAAAGTCTTATTCATTAGGACTGCACAATACTGGTAAAAAGAAAAAAATTGTAAAATTTAGCTTTGTATTTTTAATATTTAGCTTCATATATTGAGATTTGCAGTCTATTTCAGCAGATTGCGGTGATTTTGTTGTATAATGCATCTGCATAAAATATAATAAACTATATAAATACAAAAAAAAAAAAACTAAGGATAAAAAAAACTTTTTTTTTAAGTCTTAGTAGTCAGACTTCACTAAATAAATGAAACGCAGTTAGAAAAACTTAATTAATTTTTTTTTTATTACACCGAAAATTAAATCATTACAATTGGGGACTACTCATCCTTGTTGGAGAACCTGTGAGGAAAAAGAGGCACATCATGCGCATATATTCTGGCAGTGCTCAAGAATAACAGTTTTTGGGAAATGGTGCAATCCACCATCAGTGATATTTTTGATCTCCATATTCCTAGATCATTTGAAGTACTTTATCAAGGAGATATTCCTATTAAACCTAAAAATGAGGATAGATATCTATTTAAAATATTTCTGGCAACAAGTAAAAAAGCTATACCACGGAAATGGTATAAAGAAGACCCAGCAACTAAAGATGAATGGTTCAAAATTATAGCAGAAGATAAGGAAATGGAAAAAAAATGACACATGGACTTCGATTACAATTAGAGATCTTTGAAAACAAATGGAAAAAATGTCTGGCTTTCTCCACAGCGACAATATGGAGAAAACATTTACATAATTCTGGAGGTTATGCATAATTGTGAAAATATGTTTGGCAACCTTTTATTATATTTTAATTTATACTTATTTATTTATTTTGATGAGGTTAATTTAATATTTTTATATATGTATATAGATATACATCTGTGGAATGGATGTATTTGCCTATATACTGTACGTATATATGTATATTGTTCAATCGTTTTAGGGCAACTTTGAAAGGTTTAAAACACTTCAAATGTTGACTACTGTGGATAAATTAGAAACTAGATAATAAACCATATAAAAAACAAAGAATAAAAAAGGGAAAAACTAATTGTTTAAGTAGTCAGACAGATATTGAATGACCAAATGTTAAATAACACTTCACAGTCTTCACTAAATAAATGCAATTCATCTTTATTATGATAAAATAAACTAGACATAAAAAGAAGAGGATAAATAAAAAACAAAGGATGAAATAGAGAAACACTAATTGTGCTTTATTTTTTTTCCCTAATCTTAGCAGTCAGACAGATATTGAATAATCCAATTTAAAAAAAGTCTTTACAGTCTTCACTAAATAAGTGAAACGCAAATAATCCTGGTTATAGCTAAAATGTATTGTTTATTGCACCTGCATGCTTAAAACTCCCTTATATTAACACGGTGATTGTAATAAACTAAAATAATGAACTCTAAACTTTGCAGTTATTTAAATATTGTTGTGCTTGGTCATCTATAATCCCTACTTGACATAGCGCATCCTGCAATATGACTAATGTAAATGTGCACAATATACTATATACATGTCGCCCTATTATAAACAAATGCAACTTGACTATTCAAGTTTGAGTAGTGACTTTCTACACTGCATGTTGAACTTAATTACAAAACAACATCTCACCTTTGTCTCCTCCAGTCGTCCATACACTTGCCAGAAGTATTTGGTGAAAAGCTCTTTTCCTATTGGCTGACCGTTGATTCGGATCCGCTCTCTCACTTGCACCAAATGAGGAGAACTGGAGATCAAAACAACGCAGAAGCAAACAAAACACCAATCAACCACGCAACAAAGATAACACAGTAAATGTAAAGATTTTACTACAGTGTTTGTTTAGAAGAGCTCTCTGAAGTCTGGTCAGAGATTACGTAAATCATTGAGCTTTAGCTAAACTTCAACTAAACAGAACTTACAATAAACTGATTACATCATTTACATGGTAATACTGAGCTTTACTTTTCACTCAGCGGAGAGAACAAGCAAAGTTCAGCATGAACTTGCATATATGTGTGCGCATGTGTGTGTCTGAATAAACAGTGAAGTTATGCAATGTTTACAGTGGTTTTAAAAGCCAAACCGATCCCACAATCCAAAAAAATGACTATAAAGTATAACGACTTAATGTAGTAGCACTGAATTATTCTGACTGCTTATAATACCTGTAGAATCCAGTGCGGAAGCCATAGTTTCTCAAAATCTTTTCTGTGAAGGCACATGTTGATCCCTGTAATGAATAAAAATACTATCAGAATTTCTTTGAACTTTCATAACTTAAATTCAATATTTCACTGCTCAGTGAGCTGATTTACCTTTCCTTTTGTTCCAGTTACATGAATAATATTAAGACGATCCAGTTCTTCTACCTGAGGACAAACAAAAAAGATTTTGCAATTTAAATTCAAGTGTGACAAGTTTTGACAAGTTAAGATGAGTAAGAACATGGACTCATGACACAAAGCAGATAGAATTATGTCTGTTTCTAAGGGCCTCAATTTTCTTGGTGGATCACCAGCACTGCATGTTTCGGATGTCTCCTTTGTCGGTCACACCCATCACAGATCTTTAAATCTCTGCTAATGAGCTGATGATCTGAATCATGTGTGTTTGGTTAGGTTATGAAAAATGTGCAGAGCCGGTGATCCTACAGGAACTTGGTTAAGAAACACTGTTAGAGAAAAGTCTGACTGGTTACAATACTAATATAATGTATGAAATAAAAGTATTTCAGTTATAAGATCTACACAGTTGGATAATTTGTCATTTATAATTATTACATTTTTATTTATTTTAGGTAAATAATTTAACCATTTAAAACCAAGCAAACATTGCCCAACACAAGCGTACTTGAAGAAAATCAGAGTAGAATAATAGAAAATTCAAAGCGAAATAAATAACAGATGCATTTATTACGGCTGCATGATATTGGGAAAAAAACTGACATTGATATGTTTTGTTTTTCTGTGATTTATATTGCGATATGATAATAAATTGACAATATGGCTCTATTTGGAAAGAATTCCTAATTTTATATTGATGGGAATGGTTTATAGTTGAGTACATAAGCATAAATATACAAAATTAGACCAAAAAAAAAATAAATAAATAAATAAATATATATATATATATATATATATATATATATATATATATATATATATATATATATATATATATATATATATAAAAATATTAATTATTGATTTATTTAGAAGTAAATAAAAAATAGAAATATTTATTTATTTATAAATAATTAAATAAAATGTATAATTTTTTAAAATAAAATATATAATAAAAATTATTATATTTATTATGAATAAATGCACAGATGAAAACAATAAAATAAATATTTAAATAAACAATACTTTTTGGTTTTTGAGTGGAATTTAACAGTATGTAAGTATAGAAATTCAATAATCAAATGCAAAATAACACTAAATAGTCTTTATTCTATTGCATTAAATGATTAAACACAATTTATCTTCATTAAAACACCAAATTTTATTTTTTCTTTGCCCAAACGTTTTAAATTCACTTGAAAAGTTACAGTAACAGACAGATAAATAAGTCTTTCATAATATTAAATTAGAGTTAAACTTTACAACGACTCCACAAATTGCATGTTCTGAACTGTGTTTTGGAGTTCATTGTAATTCCAAGTTGACAATGCAGATCCTGCAATGTGACTATTAAAGATTTGCACATTGCGATATCAAGCTGAAATTATATAATGTGCAGCCCTAATATGTATATAACACAGATATTATGATTATACTATTATACTATAATAAAAAATATTACCTAAAGCATCATCAAAGTGATTAAAATAAGAAGTCCAGGTAGAGTGAAATGCTTTAGTCGACTAATTAAAAATGTAAATAGTTTTGTTTTTAGTTTGAATATTGCATACATCTCATACAAAACATATGCATCAAATACATACAGTTTTATTTAATTTATTGTAAATATTCAAAATATTTATTTTTCAAATATAGGCTTAAGCAATGCAATTATAAAAACTGGATGCACTTTCACATACTAACACTGTAAACAATCTTTACTAGATAAATATAAAAAAAGCTAAAACTAAAATCACTACAGAAATTATGTAGGCATTTAAAATAAAATGTATTGTATAATACGATATAATAATTGAATAAAAATAATAGTAAATATTATAAATCAATTATACAGTATTAATTAACTTATATTTTAGATATAAATGCTAAAATAATGCAATTCTGGAATCTTTATGTATTCAACATTCGTAAAAACATAAAACTAAATTATCCTTAAACTAAGCAGTCAAAATGTCAATTAAAGGCTAATTAACATTAACATAAGTCTTTCATTAGAGTAACACAGTTAGCATGATAAAATGATTCAGCCATACCGTCCACCCCAGTCTTGATTTATACTAATGTTGCTTGTGTGTGATTATACCTTGAGTCCTGCTCGCTGAAGAAAGCCCCTCATGGCCTGCAGCTGGAGCTGAGGATGTCCCCGCTCTCGCTTCACCTGCTCCAGAGCGCTGGCATTCGTCTGGAGGGTGTTGAGGGTGCAAACCGCATCCTGAAACACATTCATAATGACACAGGATCTCAACAACTTCATGCCATCTCAGCATCTCAAACACCAGCACATGGAGCTTCTGAATGCCTCATGTAACGTTTAGATCCAATCCTGATCTATAACTCTGCTGGAAGTTATTTTTGAGCTGATATTCAAAAACAGAAAACAGAAAATGTCCATCTGAGGCTGTAGTCTGTACAAACTAAAGCTTTTCAAGTAACACTGAACTTCAGAACTGTTTCATAATATTTAGTCAATGTTTAGCCAGAATTTCTGGCTGTTGTAGTGCAATCAAATTACAAGTGACGACTACATATTATCGGTCACCGCTCAATGTTTTGGTTGGTGAAAACGATCAGATGATTTATACAAGCAGGGTGACACGGTGGCTCAGAGGTTAGCACTTTTGACAAACAGCAAGAATTTCTTTAGTTTGAGTCCCGGCTGTGTTAGTTGCCTTTCTGTGTGGAGTTTGCATGTTCTCGTGTTGGCATTGGTTTCCTCCTGGTGCTCTGGTTTCCCCCACAGTCCAAACACATGCGCTACAGGTGAATTGAATAAACTAAATTGACCGTAGTGTATGGGAATGAATGTGTATGGATGTTTCCCAGTACTGGGTTGGGAAGGGCATCTACTGTGTAAAACATATGCTGGATAAGTTGGCGGTTCATTTCACTGTGGCGACCACTAATAAATAAAGGAACTAAACCGAATGAAAATGAATGAATAAATGATTGATACGAGCAACTGAGACTTATTAATTAACAAGAGTCTCTGTGAAGAACATAAATTACGACATCTGAGTGGCCTGACGGTGAGTAAACAAAGAGCAAATATTCATTTTTGGGTAAACTATCTCTTTAACGCTGACTGATGAAACTGCTGTGTACTAAGCATTTAGTAATAATAAATATAAATAGCACATCTCGCTCACTCAATCATGAATAAAACAGAATCTTTTTCCACAGCCACATGTATTTAATCCTGAGTTATGGCTGCCTGAACACTAAGCACATGGCCTGAATGAGATCATGCAGAACATGACGTGGTTTTGACAACGATAGCCTAAAATAGCTACTAAATGTTTATAGTACTAACACTTTAATATTATGTAAACTAATAATGACTATTATGGAGTTCAATACAAAAACTTAACTCCTACAGGTAAACATTACCGTTAACAGCTTTAATCCTTAATTGTAAATACAGGGAAAGCAACCGTAAGCATAATGGAGATAAAGTTGGTTTTGTATTCGCACATTCATTCAGTGACAACTTAATACCATGGTACTTTGAATATTCAGTCAGAAATCACACGCAAGTATGACTTCAAATCAAAACAACATTAGCACTATTTAATTGACTGTGAACAATGTTGGCCTTTGATAGTCATTGGCTGCTAATAGGATTTTACTATTTTGAATTGGCAAAGCATACTTGTTTTAAATGATATGATTAAGGGGAAAGTCCCAATATAAAACCATCCTTACCTCAACGTAAGCATACAGTATCTATTTAATAATTGCAAGCAATATGAAAATAAATATATTACTTTGTCATATATACATTTTTATCAGTGTAAATTAATGTTACTTTACTGCAGTTGGCGATAAACACACACAAATTAATGTTACACCAAAAAATATTTAGCTTTAACAGCTATTTAAAAAATACAGGGATGTGGTCGAAATTTTATGAAATTCAAAATAAACACACGCAGAATTACATTACACCAAAGTTGGCGATAAACAAGCACAATTAATTTGAAATACAGAAAAATGAATGAAAAGCAAATAGTACCTATTTTTAACAGTGCTAACAGCATAACATTAAATACATGTATTACTTTGTTAACTAAAAATGTTTTATCCACGTACATTAACGTTACTTTTATGAAGTTTGTGATAAGCATGTACAGATTAAGAAATTACCATTAACAGCTGCAATAGTTACATAGTAACTATTTTATAAGTGCAAACAACATGAAAATAAATATATATATTACTTTGGTAATTATAAAGTTTTATGAGTGTACATTAACGTTTTATGGAATTCGCAATAAACACGCTCAGATTAATCAGATTAAGCTACACCAAAAACTATTTACCGATAACAGCTGTAATAGTTACTTGATAATACAGGAAAATAGACAAAAAGCAAATAGTACCTATTTTTTTAAAAGTGCTAACAACATTAAAATAAATATATATTTCTTTGTCAATTATAAATGTTTTATTAGTGTACATAAACATTGCCGTTACTTTTATGAAGTTCGCGATAAACGTGCTGATTAACGTTACACCAAAAATATTTACCGTCAACAGCTGTAACAGTTACTCAACAGTTACTTGAAAATACAGGGATGTGGACTAAAAGCAAATAGTTCCTATTTTAAAAAAAAGTGCTAACAACATGAAGGTAAATACATATATAAGTTAGTTATTGCTATTTTAACACTGTAACATTATAAGCAAAGAGACTTCACTGTAACCACGCGTAGATTAACGGTACACCAAATAATCGCGCTCTTTGGTTTTAAACTCAACGGCTGATGTAACAATTGTCAACGGTGAATCAGCCGCGTGCGCTGGATTAACAGTACTATTTCAACCGAACCAAAAAAAAACTTTCAAAGTCCAAACAAAAGTGCACAAACTCACTAACTATAATCAATAATTCCCATAGATAAGCACACAGACAAACATATGGATGAAGATATTCGAGCACTGTACCTGATAGTCCATTCTTCGGTACCGCGGAGCAGCTTTAGTGCTGGAAAATCTCACTGACAGCCCGACAATGCTGGTCCAGTGTCGGTTACGCGCCGAGACTTCAGTCCACGCGCGTAAATTCTCCAGCACGCGGAACAGCAGCATGGTGGCCCGGAGAGTGCAGGAAGCAGCACCAAATTTGGGGAGTTTTCCTGTCAATAGTGAACTCTCGCGTCATGCCACGCCTCCTTCCTGCTCGCCATACAGATTTCACTATACTGTTTGTTGTTTATCATCGCCAGTGTGGATGACAGCAGTTTGCGTGAAGTAGAGCAGAAATAAATGATGGTTTTGTGACGCGGAAGATGCAAAGTCAAGATAGGCTGCAGAGCGAATAGTTGAATCAACGTTACAATTCCAGTTCGCTGTCGAGTCAAGCTACAGCAGATGTTTATCCTGTTTTAACCAGGCTGCGTGTCAATAATCTCGCAGAAACATGTGGCGCTGCAGAGGTGCATGTTAAAACACTGGATTTCTCTGATTTGCCATGCAGAGCTGCTGAAACGCTTCTCACGTGTCAGGTGTCTTCGAGAGCTAGTAGACGTCGTACTGCGCATGCGCATTGGTTCTTACTTATAATACGACACCGCCGTCTGCTGGACAGTCCACATTTTTAAACCTACATTTTTACTTACAAAGTTCATTCATTCATTTTCTTGTCAGCTTAGTCCAGGGGTCACCAACCTTTATGAAACTGAGAGCTACTTCTTGGGTACTGATCAATGTGGAGGGCTACCAGTTTGATAAACACTTCTCAAATACCAATTTCAACAATGATTTAACGTATCGTATTTAATGTATCGATGTGCAACACTTTATTTTTATATCTCTCTGCAAATATTAACATTTTTAAATGATTACTTCTATATTAGATGGAACTTCCTGGTAAGTGGCGCTATGGTGAGCTATTTTTACATTTACATTTACATTTACATTTGGTCATTTAGCAGACGCTTTTATCCAAAGCGACTTACAAATGAGGACAAGGAAGCAATTTACACAACTAAGAGCAACAATGAATAAGTGCTGTAGGCAAGTTTCAGGTCTGTAAAGTCTAAGTAGGAAAGTATTAGTAGTATTAGTCTTTTTTTTTTTTTTTTGAGTACAGTTAGTGGTATATCCAGAGAGGCAATTGCAGATTAGGAAGTGAAGTGAAGTTTTTAGTCGTTTCTTGAAAACAGCGAGTGACTCTGCCGTTCTGATGCAGTTAAGGAGTTCATTCCACCAGCTGGGCAGATTGAGCGTGAGCGTTCGCGAAAGTGATTTCTTCCCCCTTTGGGATGGAACCACGAGGCGACGTTCATTCACAGAACGCAAGTTTCTGGAGGGCACATAGATCTGCAGAAGTGAGAACAGATAAGAAGGAGCAAAGCCAGAAATTGCTTTGTAGGAAAACATCAAAGCTTTGAATTTGATGCGAGCAGCAACTGGCAGCCAGTGCAAACGGATGAGCAGCGGAGTGACATGTGCTCGTTTCGGTTCATTAAAGACCACTCGTGCTGCTGCGTTCTGGAGCAGCTGAAGAGGCTTGATAGAGTTAGCTGGAAGCCCCGCTAGTAGAGAGTTGCAGTAATCCAGTTTGGAGAGAACAAGAGCTTGAACAAGGAGTTGAGCTGCATGTTCAGATAAGAAGGGTCGGATCTTTCTGATGTTATAGAGTGTGAATCTGCACGATCGAGAAGGTCTAGAAATGTGGTCAGAGAAGTTTAGTTGGTCATCAATCGTTACTCCAAGGCTTTTCACCATATTGGATGCAGTAATGGTTGCCCCATCCATCTGGATTGAAAAGTTATGGTGTAGAGTCGGGTTGGCAGAAACTACAAGCATTTCCGTTTTTGCGAGGTTCAGCTGAAGATGATGATCTTTCATCCAGTGTGAAATGTCCAACAGGCAGGCTGAGATGCGAGCTGGAACCGAGGGATCATCAGGATGAAAAGAGAGGTATAGCTGGGTATCATCAGCATAGCAGTGGTAGGAGAATCCATGTCTCTGGATGACTGGTCCTAGAGATGATGTGTAGATGGAGAAGAGAAGTGGCCCAAGAACAGAGCCTTGAGGTACCCCAGTGTTTAGATGCTGTAGGTTGGACACCTCTCCCCTCCAAGACACCCTGAATGACCTGTCAGAGAGGTTTTAGAACAGGCCTGCGGGCAACACATGTGATCCTCCATGTTGGTGACCCCTGGCTTAGTCCCTTTATTAATTCGGGGTCGCCACAGCGGAATGAACCGCCAACTTATGCATTTATGATTTGGGAGTCAGATTGTAAGGAAATGGACTATATGTTACTGTTTTTAACTCTTTGTGGCCTCTTCCATCTTCACAAATGTAGCTATTCAGTGTTTGCCTAATTATAGAACATTTTATATTGTCTTAAAACTATAAAATCAATCTGTTTGCCTATCGCAAAATAAGAAAGCTGCTAAAACAACTGAACTGCTGTAAAAAATAATATTATCATTATAATCATTACCTTTAAGTAGGCCTACATGGAATCTGCGAGCGCAGAATTCCGCAGATTTACCACAGATTTCCACAAAATTCAGCAGATATTTAGCCCATCATAAATTCTGTTCATTTACTTGAGTAGATGTGTGTAAATCTATATTTATTCAGTTTTTTAAATTAATTTCAGTAATATTATTGACTAATATGAAAATGTTCATCTGATTCATGCACAATGCAGTTTGTACAATAATATTTTCTGTCTTTTAGTAGATATATTATATGAGACTTGCTTTGTTCACCAAATAAAGTTAATCAAATTGGATTTGCATTTTAAACATTAAATGAAAGTTAAAAAGATGTTATTTTTTTATTTAATATATTAAGGTTTTAGTTGAGATACTCTCAAAATAATTCCGCAGATTTTTTATAAAATTCTCCGCATAAATAGCAAAAAATGTCCACAGATTCCGTCTGGCCCTACCTTTAAGTTATCAGCTCCCTTTTGGTACGCCTAGGTAACATTAATAATCCAACTATATTTTGAGATATGTTTGATTTCTTTTGATATATATTTATATATATTTTTTGTTTTGTTTTCTTTGAATATCTGTTTTTCCTTCATGTGTTGTTTTTTTCCTTATCCGCTGTATCATTTTTGTTACTAGATGTACAATGAATATGTATTGTATTTAGGTCACACAATATTAGCACAAATTAATGTTTTATGTATTCCCTGTTACTTATGTTAATAAAAAAATAAATAAAATAACAACTCTAATTTAAAAAAAACAAAATCACAATAAGTTATAAATAACGTCAAAAATTGCACAAAAGCTTTTGAAACTGATATACTTTTAACTGTGTGGATACTTTTATAAAGTTGGTCATATTTTAAAATATGAAACAAGTTAAGAGTTTTAAGTAGTTTTTAATATCTTAATATTTTTATTTTGTCTTAACTGTTTGTTTTTTACATTTAAATAACAAACAAGCATTTTTAACTTCCATTGATAAACATATATAACATTATATTCAAGCAGCATATAATAAACAAAACAGTACAAAATAATAAAACATAAATAAACCTTAAATGATACAAAAGAAAATACATTACATTGAGGGGGGTCAGTCCATATAAGCTGACAAAAGCTTAGAGAACTTTCAGGCACCTTTTGTTTTTACCTGTTTTATGGATTTATTTAAATTGTTGAACTGCTTTGAAACAAGGAGAAACTTTAACAAATCTACATTTGTGGAGATAAAATTAGGCTACAATCAACATATTATTACACAGAAATTCAATTACTTTGTTTTTATTTTTGGATCCCACGGCAAAGGTTAACATTTTCAGTGTTGATCACTATAACAATACTGGGAACCACTTCTGCAATTTCTTTAAATTACCAATAGATGGCGCTAGGAGATAGTGGATAAACTTCTGGTGACGATACAAAAGCCTAGCCTACAACACAAAACTGACTAGGCTACATTTATATAGATTTAATTACAAATATTTTATGAAAATAACATATTATTTTTATGAAATAGCTCACATTTATGTGTTCAGTATTCACTGTTTAAATGCAAACTAATTAGCCTGTTCCTTAAAATGACAACCAAGAAATGTTTTATCTCCTATATCACTACTCAACCATGAAGAGAAGCAATTGATGTGTAAAACCTGTTAACGGGCGACAATCCATCCAAAAAAGCGGTTTTAAACCTTCGTTTTATTTATTTTTTATTTAACACAAAAGAATATGAAAGTTGGAAACCTGTAACAACTGACATTCATAAGAAAAACAGATACAGTCAATTGTTTCCAACATTTTTCAAACTATCTTTTTTGTGTTCAACAGAAGTAACTCAAACGTGTTTACAAGGGTAAATAAATTCTGACAGATTTTTTTTTTCTTGGATCCCTTTAATGTCTTCTTAATAAAAAGTTCCTCTTAATTTAAATACAAAATTACAAATGATCCTCATTTAGTCCATAAGCCGTTGCATCTTCTTGTCAGTTAATAGGGTTGAAACATCTTTTAGGCTATTTGTCATATAGAATATAAAGTTAATCTATTACTAAACAGTTCAAGATCTCATCCCCTAGACCATTTCTCCAACCATAGGGTGTCCTTATTAATTTAATCATGTCTGAATAATAGATCCAACATGTCAGCAAACTCCAATAGAAATCTGATAAATGTAAATTTACAGTTTAAGTCAGAACTAGGCCTATTAGCCCCCGTATTATTATTATTATTTTTTAATATTTCCAAAATGATGTTCACAGAGCAAAGAAATTGTCTTATAATATTTTTTCTTCTGGAGAAAGCTTTATTTGTTTTATTTCAGCTAGAATGAACGCAGTTTTTAATTTTTTTAAAAACATTTTCAGGTCAAAATTATTAGCCCCTTTAAACTATATATTTTTATATAATCTATACTAGAGAACAAACCATCATTATACAATAACTTTCCTAATTACTCTATGACCTGCCTAGTTAACCTAATTAACCTAGTCTTTAAATGTGCTAAAGAAAATTTGTGTTACAATCATCCCCGGTCTCCTATATATATTTCCATCTATCAGATTTCTTTATGGGGTTGAAGATTCTTGGCTCGATTCCATCGGTCACTTACTCACTGCCACACCGTGACCCGTGGGTTAATACAGCAGACGTGCCATTGTTTATATGCCGTTATCGGTGCGGACAGCTGGTGAAGGCGCACGGCACGAAAGGTGAAATTCGTGAGAAAGGGAGAAAGGCCACATATCAGGAGATGATCAAAGTACCTACTAACGACTCCCTATTAAACATGTCCAACCATGTGATGACATTTTGGCTTCGTTATATGCTAAATCCATTCGCGTGATGATATCCGTCGATGCACTGACACGGAAAATATGCGAATCTCAGCTCTGGCTGTCTCCTTGAAGAAGCCCGTGCGGTGATATCGAGCAATTTAAATAATGACCCGTCATTTTACTGTTCATCTGCGAGAAAAACACCGGTTATCTCAATGAAACATGTGCGCGATTAAGAGCCAAGCTACATGTCAAGGATTTGGTCAGAGAAATGAATGTTATGTTGGATTTAGATAGTTAAGGTAATGGACGATCATTACAGCGCAGAGAAATGTCTTAAAGGTGAGAGATTACAAGGACTAGAACACGATGTCTCAATGCTTTCATCCAGATTAGACCCAGATTCCTGTTTCAGGTTGTGTTACGTAGGCCTATACTCACTTTCGCCTGGCAGCTCTTGACCTGAGAGAGAGCCTCAGGTGTTTATTTTGTCTTGAATGTAGGTGATGATAGCGTTTAACCTGGATTTAATTCAGCATTCGTCATTTTAATCAAGTGTAAATGCACTGTATAACATAAGCTACTGTTCTGTTGATCACTCTCTAAAAATGTTTAATGGTTCTCCCTCGTTCCCGCCTTTTATTATTTTTAAAATCTGTAATGGTCAAACATATGTTGAGCCTGAAATCACCTCATTGTTTATTTATAGAAGTTTAATGCTGTAACTTACAGTTTAACAAGTAAAAAAGACAATTTTGTCATCATTTACTCAAGCCTTTGCTTGTTTGGAACATATTTGACTGATAAAACACAAAATAAGATATTTTGAATAAAGTTGGAAACCTATGGTAAACTATCCTCTTTTTTTACCATAAAATTAGAGGTAATTTATATCCTATATTTTTATGGAGGTTTAAAGTTAAGAATCAGACAAATAACATCAAGGTCATCAGTGAAAACACCATTAAAGCTCCTGCTGAAAAATCCAGCTTAAACCAGCCTAGGTTTTAGAGGGGTTTTGGCCATTTTCAGGCTGGTTTCCAGCTATTTCCAGCCTGGTCTTAGCTGGTCAGGCTGGAAAATGACCAGCTAAAACCAGCTTTTAGGTGGTCATTTCCCAGCCTGACCAGCTAAGACATTGCAAGGTTTCCGCTACATTCATTCTTCTATGGCGGGGCGCCACACCAAAATTCATCCCGCCACGGCTACATTACAGCTTCTTATTAATTCAAAACATTCAGTCATTGTTGTTGTTGTTGTTGTTTTTAATAGCGGGTTATAATCGCACCAAAACGCATTAAAGAGAGTGAATTATAACAGAGCAAACTTTTCTGTTAATGTAGTAGGGCTGACTGACTTATTGACAGGTGTGCGATGCATGAGGCCAGCAAACACGACGTAGCTTTTAGTTAAGATGAACACGGTTTCCATAATAAAATTTATTTATAGATAAAAGTCTGTGATTCTGCATACATTTAACCTTATCATGCTGGAGTTTATTGCCGTTTCAATTTACTTTAGGATGCATTAATATCACTCTTTAGGTCGACTTGAGACATTCAGAAATATTCCTAGCAAATACAATAAATGTTGGAGACAGACTACATAAACACACTAAACCGCATTTCAGCAGTGTTTATTTGAGAGCGCACAAGAAGATCTGCGCTTGAGCAGCGTATTTAAGGGCGTGCAAGAAGTTTTGTGCACGAGCAGAGGAAATGTACAGGCAAAGAGATTAGCATGCTCATATTAATGTTACATAAATGCGATCCCCGACTTGTAATACTGTGCTAACCACACTTTTTCCATTTGTCATTAAAATAACGCCACAGGTAGTTGGTAGATGTGTAAAGGAACTGCCGCCACAGCTGGAAAAAATCGTAGACGAAACACTGCATTGTATTTTTGGCTATTCACATAAATATGTGCAATATAAAACCAGATTTGGGCCACATATTACAAAGAACACCTACCGACTATCATATGTGAAACATTTACATTTTAAATAATATTGCGTATTCATGATTTTCTGAAAGCATCACAGCACAAGAATGAGTTTTAATAATTGCTTTAATTTGCCCATCGCCTCACAGTGCTACAGGGTGATTCCCTTTTACAGAACAGCGATCAACTGTTAATCTCATTATTGCCTGTAGCGTCACCATTATAATCAGACAGAGTAAGACAGCTTCCAGAAGAGAACAGAAGGACAATAAATACATCTCAACAGGTTTAAAAAAAACAGAGCATCACTTGCCCTACATAAGCAAATCTCGCTAACAGTTCAGTCCTTGAAAATGCACAATTCGATACAATCAAAAGAAATGGAAGACATTATTGATCAGAGATGATGATGATGATGATGATGATGAACAGATATATTGTATGTACAAACACTGACTTGTGTCTCTATATTCAAGTTTTAACAACTGTGGATTTAATAGATACTGTTCAAAATATTCTACACCAGATTTGCCGACTGAAATATCTTTGTGCTGATTGTAAAAAGCTGTTCACGCCACTTATTGTCTATTGATATTGGTAACAATAAAGACTTACAAATAAATGTAAAAGAATAGCAGAGTCCTCACCACAACTATAACGTTAATGGCACAGAGGATAAATACAACTGAATCACTTTTAAAATGACTTTTTTTTATTAGCTGACGAACGATTAAAAGCATCGACAGCCAACCAGGATCTTGAATGCGTCAAAGAGCGCAATCCTTCAAAATATATATGTCAAAACCACAGTATAGTTACCTATGGAGCTATTGGTGTGAATGGGCCTCATGTAAAAATGATCTGTCTTAATGGCAGTATTTAACTTCTCGAACAAACAAAACAAGGAAATTTGCATATTGCTGTCACTCGGTGCAGCTGTTCCACGTTAAAATCTCATTATCGAGTCCTTACAACTCATCTCAGTAAAAAAGACGTCTCTATCTACAGCATTACTTCTTTAAAAAAAGGAAAAAAAAAGTACAATAAAAATATCCAGGTAATAAAATCAGCATCAATCAACTGCTTCATAGTAAATACATTGAACGCAAATCACATTGAAAGTGTCCGCCCGGTTATGATTGTCATTTATGAACGGAGAAAACAGATCTTGAGTTCATAAAAGGGCAGAAGAGGAACTTCGTAGACAGAAAGTTGGCGTCCGCTACTTTTTTTTTTTTTGGTTCGCCGCTGACATATTGCATAGTGAAATGCTTCACAAACTACAGTCGGTTATAAGAGGTAGAACTAGAAGATCATATTCATACATCGAGTGTTTCCCACTTTCTGTCTCATTAAGCACAGGAAAGACTGAAGTCATTTTGTCATTAATTTTATAACAGCAGTTCCCTTATTGGGATAAGTAGTTACGCCCACAATTGTGGTTCAGTAATATAGACTTCTAAAAGAGTTTCAAAAGGTTGAGTCTTTTGAGCGAAAGAAAAATATATCATAAATGCTAATACAAATTTGTTCGTTGAAATATTAAAATTTGATCAAACGTGCTCATTTGAATGAAGTGCGGTTATTTGGCTAGAGGAAAAGTTAAACCACCAAATTTGGTTCATACATTATTGAATGGATTCTACATTGTTAAGACTTGATTATGATATCATTCAGATGTGTATAATAATATATTATAGTAGTGTGGTGTAACGGATCACAAATCTCATGGTTCGGATCACATTATGCTTTTTTTAGTCACGAAGCGGACCATTTATCAGATCAGCCAAAAGGGGAGATGAGACAAATCTAACTTGATTTCCATTTATTACAAAAACAGTACTGCAAGAAACTTTTGGTTTTAAAAAAACAGTGCTAGGAACTTAGTCATTTAATAAAAATAAAATGAAGCAATCCTCAGTTGAATAAAAATAAATCGAAAATTATTCAGTACTGTAAAAATTCACTGTTACTCCTACTGTTGCTGAAAGGCTAAATGTAGAAATCTAACATTATAATTTGTACAACCCATATTTATTTTTAGTCTCTTTCAATAAACGATTCAGTTATTCACTCATAAAATGTCATGTTTCATTGCTAGATGATAATTTTTGAAGAAATATTCAGTTGCATATTTTCAATGGCTGGTTGTCGCCACCTATTGCTTAAATAATGTAATTGCGGCCTACATTTTTCATTTTTGAGTGTCAAGTTAAATGCAAATGACGGGGATTTTAATGTTTACCATAAACATCAGTGGTTTTATCTAAACTATAAGCTGTTATCCCTGTACTTCTGTCTTATTTGACTGTTGATTTTTTTTTTTAAACACAGATTTGAATGCAGCGATTTAAAGGATTAATAAACATATGCAAATACCATCATTTATAATTTATGTTGCGTGGGTGTTGAGATCCCAATCTTTTAATGATTAATTGTGCAGCTTACACTGAATACCTTAATGCAGGCTAAACAAGGCTGAACACCTTTAATAACCTAAGAAACCCACCACATACAGAATAACCCACCACAACGTCTTCTGTCATCATTAGATTTTACAGGGTACCCTAAATGCTTTCATATATGGGATTTGAATGACGCGACAGGTGATCTCTCTGCGATTTTTGGATTAATCTACAAGTAAAATATTTATTAATCAGCGGGTCACTTGTGTTCCTAACCGTGGGTTGTGATCCGTACGAATCACAGATCAACTGTGATCCGTTACACCCCTTTATTACAGTTATAAAATTTTAAATTTAATGAGAAAAATGATCAGTCTGGACCCAGAACATAGTAATAAATCAATAGCAAAAATATATCATTTGTTTGATTTTTAAAATTCCAAAAATAATGCTACCAAAAATGAGGAGATATATATAACAAAGTACAAAAAAACTCTTTGGTGAAGAGTTTGTGTTTGTGCAGCTTTTGGTTGTAGTGTTGAAATGCCATTTGTCCATTTGTTTGGACTTTTTCTATTAACGTGTAGCATTTTGTGGTTAGCCGATAGACTAAACCATCATCTGGACCTTAAAGTTTGTGTGTATGCATGTGCATCTGTTTTCGGGAGTGTTTAAAGGGATGTTTCGGAGGACGGAGTTTTCCAGAAGAATTTGTTGTTGTCGGGGTCCAAATCGATTCGGATCTGAGGCACCATCTTCTTAAAGGGGTTTAAATCCTGACTGTGAGAAAGCAAAAGAGAGTGTTGTTAGATAGATTCTCAAAATACAAGAAATCCTTCATGGGTAAAAAGTAGAGCTACACGATACTGGGAGAATATACGATATTGTTCTTAAGTGTTGTGATAATAATTCTTGCAGATTTCTGTTGAGAATGTTTATTAGCATTTTTTTCTTAATAGTTATTTAATGGTCATACTAAAATAAACAGGTAATAGATATTATATTATATTATATTATGATATTGCCCCCACAATGTGATTAATACCAGCACAGTACACACACACACGCGCGCACGCGCATAAACATGTTGAAATTTAATGTTTTATAGGAACTTCTCACCAATGATTTTTATACTGACTATAATGACTGTATGTTTTCACCTCTTCCCCCAACCGTACCTCTAAACCAGCCCTTAAAGGAAACAATCTGCAGTTTTAAATTTCCAAAATACTTAATTCTATATGATTTTTAAGCTTATGGAAAACAAAACAGGTCCCCAAAAGGTTGAAAATGACTGCTATTACTATACTTGAGAGGACATTCGGTCCCCGCAATGTAATTAATACCAGCACCACACACACACACACACACACACACACACAACTCTTACCTTGACACAGTCCTGGAAGGGAAAAAGTGCTTTGCATCAGTAGGGAGTGAGGAAGGACATGGGCTTATCTCCTGTAAGAAACAAACACACACATGCTGTTAATATACATTCACACACACACACACATAAACACGGCAGATTGTTCAATCCCAGAAGGTTAACATATAAAGAGGCAGCTAAAAAGGAGAGTTGATTAGTTAGTGATTAGAGGTAGTGAAGAAGAGGAAATTCAGTACTGCAGTCAGGTTAAAGTCAACAAGAGTGTGTTTACAACTCAGTTTACTTCCGTAATGTAAAAACGGATATTAAAAGAACATTAATATTGGTCAAAGATGAAAATGGTTGACATTTTTTAAGCATCAAAAAAGTCTCATACTCCTGCAACCAATCTTTGGGAAACATCAATACACACTCATTCACACTCATACACAAAGGACAATTTAGCCTACCCAATTCACCTGTACCGCATGTTTTTGGACTGTGGGGGAAACAGGAGCACCCAGAGGAAACCCACGCGAATGGTGGGAGAATATGCAAACTCCACACAGAAACGCTAACTGATCTAGTCGAGGCTCGAACCAGCGACCTTCTTGCTGTGAGGCGATTGTGCTACCCACTGCGCCACCATGCTGCCCTTTATGTATATATATTTAAGTTTATCTTGCAAGCAAATTTGGATTCCATTCTGAAGGGCTCATCCCTATGCCCTAATCCCTTCGGAGGGACAGCACTAACTAATGCGCCACTGCGTCACCAGGCATATTTATGACAAATGTTATTTTTAATGACATCCCAGTTTACATTCATACATTTTCTTGTCGGCTTAGAGCCTTTATTAATCTGGGGTCACCACAGCGGAATGAACCGCCAACATATCCATTAAGTTTTTACACAGCGGATGCCTTTCCAGCCGCAACCCATCTCTGGGGAACATCCACACACACATTCACACACACACACTCATACACTACGGACAATTTAGCTAACCCAATTCACCTGTACCGCATGTCTTTGGACTGTGGGGGGGAAACCGGAGCACTTGGAGGAAACCCATGTGAATGCAGGGAGTACATGCAAACTCCACACAGAAATGCCAACTGAGCCGAGGATCGAATCAGCGACCCAGCGACCTTCTTGCTGTGAGGCGACAGCACTACCTACTGCGCCACTGCATCGCCCATCCCAGTTTACAATTAATAATAAATTTATAATTAATTTATTATTCATATTTGCTACTGTGGTTAAACCAGCATGGAATCAATTATTTAATAATAATTATTATAATACCCGTCTTCTGCAGCAAACAGGAGGATCTTTAGTGCCATCACTTTTTTTGGAGTAAATTTATATATTATTTATTTAGTTATTCATTGCAGTGGACATCTGAGAAAAGTCTGACAAAAAGCGTTAATGGAGTATATTAATTCATTCTTTTTCCTTCAGCTTAATCTATATTTTAACAGTCGCCACAGAGGAATGAACCTTCAACTATTCCAGCATATGTTTTACACAGCGGATGCCTTTCCAGCCGCAACCCAGTGCTGGAAAAACACCCATACACACTAATACACTACGACAAATCTAGTTTATTCAGTTCACCTATAGCTCATGTGTTTGACTGTGGGGGACACTGGAGCAACCGGAGCATGTATGTCTATTATTATCTAAAACCCACGCCAAGATCGTGAGAACATGCTACAGTAACTCCACACAGAAATGCCAACAGGCCCAGCCGGAACTCGAACCACCGACCTTCTTGCTGTGAGGCGACATCGCTAACCACTGAGCCACCGTGCCGCCCTTACATCCATAAATCACTGTAAAACGGATCAATTCTACAAAATATGGCAACCATTTGAAAATTATTTTGACCCTGGAATTGGTAATATTGTGTTATGATTTAAAAAACCGCTGAACTTCTGCACAATTATCACATTAGGAATTGTGTTTTTATTAACTTTTATTCTATAAAACTTTTTATTATTTATAAAATTTCATAATAATGGATGTTCTTTGGCAAACAGTGGTTAGCACTGTCGCTTCACAGCAAGAAGGTCGCTGGTTCGAGTCCCGACTGGGCCAGTTGGCATTTCTGTGTAGAGTCTGCATGTTCTCCCCGTGTTGGCGTGGGTTTCCTCCGGGTGCTCCGGTTTCCCCCACAAGTCCAAACACATGTGGTACAGGTGAACTGAATAAACTAAAATTGCTTTAGTGTACGAGTGTGTGTGAAGAGTGTGTATGAGTGTTTCCCAGTACTGGGTTGCAGCTGGAAGGGCATCTGTTGTGTAAAACATATGCTGGAATAGTTGGAGGTTCATTCTGCTGTGGCGACCCCTGATAAATAAAGGGACTGAGCCAAAGGAAAACCAATGAATGAATGTTCTTTGTGTACTGTGATTTCCAATTTAAGAAAAATCAATGAAAATAACGATCATTCATTTTATATAATATTTCACAATTTAAATTTAAATTATAATTAATGTTTTCTGACTACAATAGCAGTTCATTTCTTCTCTTAAACCTTGTTTCTACTGCTTGTTCCTCAACGGTTTTTCTATTAAACATTGCTTGTATTGTTGATTTCTTTAAGATTCTCAACAAAGAATTGCTACTTCTTAAACTCTACCTAATTCCCATCTCTACAGACCAGAGTAGACTCGAAGACATCAGACAAAAACAAATAAAGTCACAGATCAAGTTACTTTGATGAAAGACACCGAATGAATCATGCACTGAAAGACCAGGAACAGGAATTATTAAAGCAAACAGGGTGCATTTCGACTTCATGTTGACTTTCTTAATACATCCACACAAATAGTGATTAGGCATCTTAAATTATCTGCTGAGAACGGATTATCGATCCACACCAGACCAGGAAACCAAGCAACACCGCAAAAACAAAGAGAAAAACAGGATTTAGAGATGTTTTCTGGAGGATTGTGAGATGACAGTGAGAAGAAGGAGAGAAAAGACATTAGTCAGGTTTTTGAAAACGACACAGCGCATGGGTTCAGGCAGTGGTGGACAAGAAATAAATATATTTTTACACATCCATCTTTTTATTTTATCTGAACATAAAAGCTTTCGACTTTTTAAACCTATTTTATCTAGAAAACATGTTGAAAAAATAGTTCATGCTTTTATTACTTCAAGATTGGACTACTGTAATGCGCTATATTTTGGGATCAGTGAGACAACTCTATCCCACCTACAGCTAGTAGGGCTTTTAACCAGCACCAGAAAATATGACCACATCACACCAGTACTGCGCTCTCTGCACTGGTTGCCTGTGCACTATTGTGTAACTTTTAAAATTCTTCTCCTGGTTTTTAAATCTCTAAATGGCTTAGCTCCTTCCTACCTGTCAGACCTGTTGACTGAACATCAGCCTGGTCGGTCTCTTCAGTCATCAAACCGGAGACTTTTATACATTCCAAAGTCGAGGCTGAAATGCAGGGGTGACCAGGCTTTCGCAGTAGCTGGTCCTACTTTGTGGAATGCTCTGCCCCTCTGTATTAGGTCTATATCATCGCTGTCTGTTTTTAAATCTAGGTTGAAAACTTACCTTTTTGATTTGGCATTTTATCAGTGAGAATTGTTTGTTTTTAGCTATAATAACTATTTGTGAGAATTGTTTGTTTTAGCTATAATTTTATACTTGTTCTTTGTGATTTATTGTTCAGCACATTGGTCAATCTTTGGTTGTGTTTAATAGTGCTATATAAATAAAATTGACATTTGTACAATTACTTAACAATTTTTCAAAACACAAGAGTTACACAAATCAATGAAAAAAATGTAAGTTATTATCTCTGAGCCAATGAAATTAGATACGTGATAACAGTGTCCGGTTTGTAAATGAGCTGAATTCCTGTTCGACTGGATCAGAAATAGCACTAAACTATGAATTAGTGAATTGGACAGATGCGATTTCACCTTTTCTAGAATTAACAAGAGATTTAAAGGGCACCTAGTTTACCCCTTTTTTAAGATTTTTCTTATATTTTTAAACGTTTATTTATGTGCTTTTTGCTGCAACAAAATATAGAAAAAACCACACTACAATATAATATAATACATATAAAATACAATACATAAAAAGTATACATATATATATGAAAAAAACCTAACCTATGACAGAACAAACGAACGACAGAACACCGAGGGACAAATGCACATGAAAGCAAAATATAATTTAGCTGGTCAGGTTAATGCATAAATAAAACAATTATAAAGTAACGTTTTTGTATCACCAGAAAAATGCATTATCCCGACTACAGTGTTATTGTCAAATAATAGTTTGGGCACATTATTAAGAATATTATAGATTATAAATTGTGAATATCAATTAAACTCAATTTTTAATTACTGTGTTATTGGGTTATTGGTTAGCTAGTGCTTCTTCCAATGCACTAAGGTGTTCTAATATCTGTCCCCATGTTTATCAAACATCCGCAATTTGTCATTATTGATATATCTCAACCTCTCCAAAGCAAGCATGTTTACGATATCTCTACCCCACATACCAAATTTAGGTACAGATTCAGTCTTCCACATTCTTTAAATCACCCTTTTGGCAATTACCATACCAAATAACATGGCTTGTCTTTCATATTTATTAAGCATCTCTAAATTACTAAATATCCCAAGAACAGCTATAAGTGGACATGCTTTAAGATTTCTTTTGAGGGCTTTAGAAAAACATTCAAATATATTTTCCCAATATTCTTGTAATTTAGGACACAACCATATCAAGTGGGTTAGGGATCCTTCTGCTGTTTTACACCTATTACAGAGTGGAGATACCCAAGAGAAATCTTATGTAGTTTCTCCTTAGATAAGTGTAACCTATGCAGGGTTTTAAATTGAATTAAATGATGTCTTACGTTAATTGAGCATGCATGTATATTCTCAAGGCCTTCTTCCCAACTCTCTGAATCTATCTCTAACCCTAATTGTAGTAACAAACAGATATTTATTCAAGCATAAGTACACTGTAATACATGTATTTTTACAATAAGTACATTGTAACAAACTATTCATTCTTGTGTAAGTACATATTAGTTAAGGCCACTTAATATAAAGTGGGACCAAAAATACTTTAGTATTTATATATAATGCTTATTCCAAAATATTTCCCTTTACTATAAATTACTATAGCATTATAAATGTGTAACACCTGGTTTTATTGGGTTTTTTGTTTTAGCTGTTATATACTATAATTTACTATATTATTTACAGTGAATAACTGAACTGAACTATTCTGCCTCATATGTTTCATTGACAGTTTTATTGATCACTAAGATATGATTGACTTGGATTTAATTTGCTTCGATTTAAAAATGAAAACTGTAAAAATAGCTTAGAGGTCGCTAAACTACTTTTGCCATGTAGCTTCATGACGGTCCAGATGGAAACAGATGTGAGCCAATGTGAGGCAACAACACATTTTGGTTTCATCTGTGCTAGTTGTTTGGCGTCAGCTTGGTGTGTACTATCCCTAAGAAACCTTCACTTATTCCCAGCTGTATTCTTTGAAAATATTGCATGTGTCTTTTTTTTAAATGGTTATTTCTTTTATTATTTGAACTACTGCTGATGTCATGGAATGTCAAGTTATCTGTTTGTAAAATGTAATAAAAAAAAAAACATTGTCACGTAAATGAACAGACAAAAGTTTCCCGTTTTTGGCTGAAACCGCAGACGTGTTTCATTTACGTTCTCATCCACCACTGTGTGAAAGCCTGGCTTCTGTGTATACTCACGGTCTGAGGGTTTCTCCCTCAGCACTGCGTCCTGCTCCATGTCCTCCATCGAGATCTTTATACTGGGAATGGTCTCGATGGCTGGAAAATCCGACTGTGAACGCAGGTGTGGAGATTCATTCCGCTGAAGTTACTGAGACACTACACAAACGCAAACACACTGATACACACACACACACACACACGCACACATATAGACTCAAGACTCACATCATTCATGTCGCTGTCGATGCTGCCTTTCTTCTTCTTCTTCTTCTTCTCGTCCTCCTTCTTCTTCTTGTCTTTCTCCGGCATGACGTCATCCAGGTAACTGAGATCGTGCTGCGAGAACACATAATCCATGGCCTTTCTCACAGCCACCAGTGCGAGGATCTGGAAAAAATAAACACAATGACAGCAATATTTGAGTTTTTATACTGTGCATTAATAAATAATTCAATAGTTGTTATATTCTGGGTGTGCAAAATTTTCTGATAATTTAATGGACAGTGTTCTCATCTTCTGATGGCTACTTCCAGCAGGATAATGCACCATGTCAAAGTGCTAATCATCTCAGACTGGTTTATTGAACATGACAATGAGTTCACTGTACTCAAATGGCCTCCACAGTCATCAGTTCTCAATCAAATAGAGCACCATGGTGCAACTGCGTGATGCTTTCATGTCAATATGGAGCAAAATCTCTGAGGAATATTTCCAGCACCTTGTTGAATCTATGCCACAAAGGATTAAAGCAGTTCTGAAGGCAAAAGGGGGTCCAACGCGGTACAAGTAAGGTGTACTCAATAAAGTGGCTGGTGAGTGGGTTTATATATATATATATATATATATATATATATATATATATATATATGAGCTGCTGCTGCGCTGTCGGTCATTGGGTAGTGGAGAGCATGAGACTGATTCCAGTGACGCTCCAGGGACAGATGAGTCTTCGCTGAGGCCAGCTTCCAGCCTCCATTGCTGAGACTGCAACTCTGCACAAGACTTTTGGCCAGCGGAGAAATTAAAATGGTCATGCCGAACTGAATCTGGTTCTCTCAAGGTTTTTTTTCTTCACTCTCTTATTGGTGAAGTTTTTTTCCCTCTCCACTGTCGCCACTAGCTTGCATGGTTCAGGATCTGTAAAGCTACGCATCGATGAATTTGCTCTTCAGTGTTTGAACTCTCAGTAATGATTTTAAAGCACACTGAACTGAGCTAAACTGAACTGAACTTAAACACTAAAAACTGAACTACCCTGACCCAGTTACTATGACCATTTATGTGAAGCTGCTTTGACACAATCTACATTGAAAAAGCGCTATACAAATAAAGCTGAATTGAATTGAATTGAATATATATATATATATATATATATATATATATATATATATATATATATATATATATATATATATATAATTTATTTTAATTACTCAAGTTTTCTAACATTCTAAATATGATGTATTCCATTCAAATAATTTTAAGAAATTCATTTAATGATGAATTAATATGAAATAGTTGATTCAGTATGGATATAATAATAATATGCCAGGCCCGTAGCCAGCCTGGTGAACTGGGTGATTCTTTTTTCTTAAAAAGTTTACCTTTTTGCAGTTATACGCCTCAGTTTCTATTTAACTGAGATTTAAATACTGCATTTTAGTGACATTTTAAGCAGTACTTTTTTTTTTTTTTGCTGGATTAGCTAGTCAGATGTCATCACAACCACACTTTTTGATGTGCTAAAAATATTTGTAATATATAAAAAAAATATAAAAAAAATAGCAATAAAGAAAAATTAAAAACAAGACTAATTTTTAAAATACAAATTTATTACATCATATATCATTAGAAAAAAAAATGCAATCTGTTGAAGTTTTAAAGTAAAAAAAACTGTAGCCTAAAAACTGTCCCCAGTCGTAATTTGACCATTTCAATAATAAATAACGATTAAAACATAATAATAATAATAATAATAATAATAATAATAATAATAATAAAACAGTAATAATGAATTCTTCAGAATTGTTCTAGCCTCTTTGCTAAAGAAAATAGTACATTTAAAAATTCTTGGATATCAACAACAGCCAAAATATATTCAAATTAATTTAACATGGTCTGCTTCTGGTGCTTCACACCTTTTTATTGCTCATTTTTATTTCAGAAATAAGGTCCAAGATTTACAATAAAAGTTACCTGTAAAATGTTTTCTCAGTTTAAAAACAATACAGTAGTGAAAGAAGACTTCTCTTACATCAGATTACAGTCCCACCGAAGCAACAGCCAACATAGGATTCCATTTGGTCTTAAAGCCTTTTGCGATGCATTATTTTCATTATTCATGATGGCACAGCAGTCAAAATAGGACAAATGAGCTCATGTATGAGACAAATTCTAGACCTTCAGTGAGGGGTGGGTCTTCCAAACCACCCTGCCTCTACCCTTGCTTTTTTCGACCCACAGAGTTACTCAGTATGAGTGTCGCATCAAAGATTCAAATGTTACTACGCAGTGGGTTATGTCGCGTGACTCGCGTCACATTATTGTGGCTTTTTACAAAAAATAATTAAATGGACAAATTCTGGACCTTTACGGGCTACGGGCATGTATGCAATTATTTGGATCATAATTATTTTCACAGTAAAATGTTATTATTATTATAAATAATCTTACCATATTACTAATATGCAAGTTATGTTTATATACCATCAAAATCATCACTTTATTGTGGCTGGTGAGTGTATCTAATAATTTATGGCTTATATAGTCAGTCAATCAATCAATATTTTTTAGTTTACTAGTTGACAAACTATTTTTACTTCAATAAACTATTTGAGCTCAAACTGAACAAAATTAACTAAAACTTAAACAATATTGAAGTAAAAATAAAGATGTGTAAAAAATGTCTTTGATTTTATTACTTTATCAGGTCTTCATATATTATTCTATACGGTTTTGCTCTTGAATAAACGGAGATGGAAGGAGTTTTGTAAGTTTCTGCAGCTGAACTGCTCACCATGACAGGGAAGATGATGGCGGCTACTGTTGACTTGAGGATCCACAGCAGAGCCAAACACAGAACCTGTACACAAACACACACACATTTATAAAGATTACGCAGAACTACATCTGAAGACCACACACAAGTGCGCCCCCTCTCTATCACAAACACACAAACATTCATGAATAACACAGAGAACTACAGCATTAGACCACATACACACTCACTCTTTTAATTCAATTCAATAGTTGCTTTATTGGCATGACAAATGTTACAAATGTATTGCCAAAGCAGTTATAAAGTGTACATAAAAATAAAAGAACATGCATATATAATAAAACTCTAAACATCACATTATTATTCAATATATCACATCATTAATATTCACTCTCTCTCTTCTACTCACACACACACCTGTATGAAGGTGAAGAGGTGAACTCGTCTGAGTGGGACGTGTCTCAGGTAGATCAGATCCGGTTGGTGTTTTGCAGGCATCAGCAGGAGCTCCAGGCGATCCAAAAACTACACACACACACGCACACGCACAAAAGGTTTTATTCATAGGTTACTGTTCTCAAGAGGCAGACATCCTGTTGAAACAATTTTTTTTAAAAGATATATTTTTAAAAATAAATATAAAAATTTAAATAAAATTTGTATGTAAACTTAAACATTTAGTGTAATTTTTTCATTATTTTTAATGAATTTTATTACATTTATTTAGCGATGTGATAAGAAATCAAATGTATTTTGATTCAAAATAAGATTATTTTCATTTAGTACATACATTAATAAAATATCTTATAATTCTTAATATCTTAAAACATTAAATATCTTGCCTCAAAATAAATGAATACATTTTCAAAATATAAAATGACCGTATTTTTATTTAATTTATATAATATGCAATACTGTTTTATACGTTTTTCAATAAAATGTAGTTCTGTCTAGTTCTCGAATCTGATTGGCTGATAGCCGTGAGATATTAAAGTAATATCAGCACTCGTACAGCCTCTTCATCCTTGTGTATTACTCTGCCCTCACGGCAAGCAAAGGACTGAAGTTTGACAAATATTGCAGCTGTTGGACAACATAATGTGGTTTTGTGGCTTTTTTTTAGGCGAGAATGTAGTTGTGTACATTGCAACTATGCAGTTTATTTATGAGGGTAATGCCTGTTTTAAATATTTAGAATTTCTAAGATTCAGCATGCCGGCATCCATCAATCTGTCATACTGAGCAGAGCAAAGACGGTTGTTGTTCCGCCACAAGATGGCGACAGAGACCACATAAAAAGCCATTAGAGAAGAAAAACTCAGCGTATTTAAAAACTACAGCTGATCTAATCATTATAAAACAGGTAAGTGACATTCTAAGTCGATCTCTCTCTTTTGTATGTTGTAATTCTGTATTTGTACCATAGTAGTCTGGTACTGTTTAATTTGCTTTAGCTTTTAATGGGTTAATTATTGTGATCTCTCGATTGCAACAGAGAAATACTGGGAAATCTCTGTAGACTGATGGCATTTCATGCTGTTCAGCCTTATAACCTTAAAATGTGAGCAAAATCATAGTGAGCACAATAGTCATCCCTTTAGACATTACACTAGAGAATCATTCAAATGTTAGCTCTAAAGTGACGTTTGTAAAGTAGCAACGGTTTCTGCTGTTCTAGCGTGAGCTGCAGATGTGAATAATTGGTGGAAGAAAGTAGTATCTCATACAAAAGGATTTTTACACTCTCTGTTTGATTTTTTATTTTATACACACGATTATGCCGTCCAACTGTTGTATAAATCCAATATCACACTCGTTGCAGTGTGATATGGCTGTATATCGTCACTGGTGGGACACTAAGGCACTCGAATCCAGCCTCTTGTCAACGCACGTCTCCCACCAGTGCCAATATACAACCATATTGCACTGCTACTCGTATGATATTGCTCATAAATTTATTTATTTAATTAATTGATTTATTTTTTCAGAATTATTAGTTCTGATTTTTAAGAACAAACTCATTTAACCTTTTTTAATTTCCCAGAAAAACAAATAGAGAATCAAGCCTCAGTTTAGTGTAAATCCTTTTATAACTTATATAACCTCTATATTACACACAGTTCAACTTCCTATAATAGTTATATTATGTAGACACAACATTTTCTGAAATATCCGTTTGTTTACATTTACATTATTATTATTATTTTAATAAATTAAACATCATGTTGTCACAAAAAGTGTAAAATGTGGCTTAAAAATGATCAAATTTAAATATATATAAATTATATATACATTTGGGAAATATTTGAAAAAGAATAAAAGATTCAGGGGGCGAATAATTTTAACATCACCTATTAATATGCACAATTCATAACCTATAACACTAACTTATTAATTAAATACACTATTATGTAATTACAAATGGATTAAGGTTTATTCTTATTACAACAACACTCATTGTCATGCTCAAAAGTGTCCTTAAGTGCTCTGGGTTCAGCCAGGTGCACTATCCTGACCAAATCCTGACCACGCCTGATTTATCCCAACTTTCCTGAACTCAGATCAGGTGGTGGAGTGGGTTCGGGTTCCCAGGCTCTAGCGGAGATCAGGTCATCGGCAGGATTAGGGTCTCTTTCTACTGAACAGTAACGGGACACTCATTGAGCTGCATGAACTCACCTGAACCCCATTTAACGAGGCGACGCCCATGTAGAGGAACACACCATACAGCACCGGCATTGGAATGAACTGCGGAGATCAAAAACATGCTATTTAAACAACACTGATACACATTTATACACACATACAGAATCAAACATCATGAGAAGACAAAAAAACACACCCCAAAACCTGCTCAACAACAGATTTGTGCAATGCAAACAGATTATAGTCAAACAGAATTGTGTTTGTGACTAAAAGCACACAGGAATGAAAGACGCTTTCTAAGCTCACATCCTGGTATGAGCTCTTATCATTATAGTCATTATTATTGTCTTCATGAAGTATGTACAAAGCAAATGTCCAGCAGAGGGCAGTAACAGTACTAATCACTAAAAACACAATACATGCTGATATTTACTGTGCATTAGGGATTAAATAAAATAATATATAATAATAATAATATATTAAATTTAGTTTTCATTTTTTTATTTACATTAAAATATATTCTATTATAAATTTTCTACATAATAACATTAATAGTAGTAATAATAATAATAAATTATAATATTAATATTGTTTATTTAATTTTCAAAAAATAATTGTTATTCATATTAAAATATATTAAAATATATTATTAATTTTCTATATAATAATAATAAAAATATATTTCATTTAATTTTCAATTTATGTATTTACATATTAAACATATTTTATTATATTATCCATTTTCTATATAATAATAATAATAATAATAATATTGCTTATTTAATAAAAAACAAATGTTATTTCTATTAAAATAAACAAAAAATAATATGTTATTTTCTATATACTACTACTAATAATATATTTTATTTATTTTCTATTTTTTTATATTAAAATATATTTTATTATATTATTTTATATATATAGTATAATATTCTATATAATATAATTTTCTATATAATAATAATACTAATAATAATAATAATATTGATTATTTAATTTTAAAAAATGTTATTTATATTAAAATATATTAGATTATTAATTTTCTACATATATAATAATAACAAAAATATTAATATATTTCATTTAATAAATTTTTTTCTTTATATTAAATTAATTTTATTATTATTATATTTTATTATTCTTATTATCCATTTTATATATAATAATAATAATAATAATAATAATGATAATAACATTGTTTATTTAATTTTCAGAAAATAATTGTTATTTATATTTAAATATGTTAGATTATTAAGTTTCTATATAATAAAACTAATAATATTATATTTCATTCAATTTAAAAAATGTTTTATTTATATTAAATTACATTTTATTATATTATAATTTTTTTATATAATAATAAAAAATATATAAATATTTATTAAATGTTAAAAAAAATTATGTTTAAATATACTATATTATATGTAATATAACTAACAATAAAATGTTAGTTATATCAAAATATATTATATTATAAAAGGTTATAAGTACATAGATTAATAAAACACCACACCGAAGTATAAATAGTTTAAAACTACTGTATAAAGTTAATTTCTATTCTATTATTCAGTATTTCAGTATTCTAAGTATTTAGGTTAATAAACCACAACGACATCAATTATACATTTATATAAAGAAAACTATTTGAAACTATATAAAAAACTATAGTTGTTTTTAAAAAGCAAACTTAGCAGAATTTTTTATCATAATGCATGCAATATCATAAAACCATGACATAATAAGACATTAATTTGAAGAACATTAAACTATGTGGTATCACAAACCATACACTGATTATATGACAATATATTGTCTCTCCATTGCAATCTTTCTATTCTAACCAATAAAAAAAATAATAATACAAAATTAGGTTAATAAATTGACATTATTTACAACGTTAACAATGTTATAATACTGTGTGCATGCAAATACATTATAAGCGTTATATAAAAAGTACAGTGATCATTTCTAGTGTTTTACAAGTTCTGATATACAAGAATAAACTCGTTTAACCTTTTTTATTTTGTCCAGAAAACAATTAGAGAAAACAAGACTTAGCTTTGTGTAAATCAGCACTTGTATAACCTCTATATTTCACCCACTTCAGCAAATATAACTAGAACTCCTTAAAATATCCTAAGTTATATTATGTAGACACAATGAATATTTTCTGAAATATCTGTTTGTTGATATTATAGCTTGACTCGTGATTGACTTTCTAATATTACGAGCCACAGTGATGACTCATTCATATTTGTAGTTGGTTTTCCCAGAAAAACACGAAACTGATATGTGTATATTTGCTTAAAAAAGTGTGTTTTGTCAACTTTTAGTGGCAAACATGACCTCTTGTACAGTAAAATCATCTGGTTTCTCTTTAACACATGGAGATTGATAAGTATAAACCTTCAGAACGGGGGCCATGAAGACGGAGAGACCGGTCAGAATAAACACCATTATTCCTGTGACTCTCTGCTCCCTGCAGGAGAAACACAACACAAAACTATCAGCAACATCTACTCAACATAAAAACACCACAGAGCAACTTGTGACAGTGATCAACTCTTATATCAGATGTCTTGTTTGAGATATTGAAGCATTTTTAGAGTAATAGCATCTGCTGATAACTGTCTGGTTGACCAATAAAACAAAACCTTTAGTTCATCCAAGTGTACATTTCACAGACAGATTTATCAATGAATGACACAATACTTAACCTAATCTAAACAAAGCCCTAACCATTTTATTGACACATTATATGGCTACAACACAAAAATTCAACATATATATATATATAACAGTTCTGTCTGGATCTCGAGTCTGATTGGCTGATAGCCGTGATATATTTAAGTAATATTAGCATCCGTACAGCCTCTTTACCCTTTGTGTATTACTCTGCCCACATACAGCCAGCAACAAGCAGAGACACTATATTTTGACAAATATTACTGCTGTTAGACAACCAAATATAATTTTGAAGCTTTTTAGTCGAGAATGTAGATGTTTAGATTGAAACTATGCAGTTTATTTGCAAAAATAGTGTCTATTTTAAAATATTTACAATTTCTAAGAGCTCGGCGGCGGCGGATGAAGTTGTCTATTCACAAGATGGCGTCAGAACCGCATAATAAGCCCTTGCTCAGTGTGTTTTTTTCAGCACGAATAAAAAGCTGAAAAAACGGAAGCCTAGTGGTTTTTAAGGTGGACCGGATAGAGTCAATAAGAAGCTGCAAATAAGAAGCTGGATTCAGCCTTGTCCCTCCTTATCGCAAACACAACAGCAGTCTGGTGAGAAATCCCTGTAGTCCGATGGCATTTGATGTCACGTTTAGCTTTATAATCTTAAAATGTGCGCAAAATTTGCTGTTTTGTCATCACCTCAAGGGGGTCACACACCAGAAGTGCTATAGAGAATCATTTAAACACTAGCTTTAAAGTGACGTTGATGAATTAGTAACGGCTTCTTCTGTTCTGATGTCAGCTTATTTTAAAATAAAAAAAATTTCTCACTCTGCATTGTAAAACACCACTTGCCAAAAATCTGTTCTACATATTTATTTACAATAAAAACAACATGATTATTTAGTTATTTCTTGTAAGTACAGAAAAATAATGTAAAATTCGATGCACAGTGATTCAAAGAGGTCACATTTTGTCATTTTTTTACCAGAGGTAAAGAGTGTTAATGTGTGTCTTTTTAAATGAAAATGAGCTGTTGTGCCTATTTCTAAAAGAGGACGGAGCCTTTACAGACTGTGCCTCAGCAAAGAGCATAGAATCACCAAGAGGCGACACTCTAGTGTTATTTAGGAAACAGCCACTAGATGGCGCGGTGGCCATTTTAGAATGAAAACTCCAATAGAACAACATCATATTATAAGTCTGTCAAATAAACTATTAAAAGTGCTGATGATTGTGATAATAAGTCTTTCAGGTTGTATCTCAGCTTTAATGCGCTTTTAAATAAATAAATAAAAAAACAACGCAGCTGCTTGCCATCGCGACAGTAATGAGATCCAATGGACGGCCGATCGCTTTCACTCCAAAATGGCGGAATCCAGGGCTGTTGCTGGGCGCTGCTGTTGTAATGGAACGTTCTATTGAGTGTCGCCTCTTGGTCATTCTAAACTCTTTGGCCTCAGTTACTCTTGCAGGAATAAACAACACATCCATGTTTCTTAAGCCTTGTCAGTTTAAGGTACAAAATGAAACTAAAACTAACCATATTGATTTTGTTAGCTCACACTGCTAGTCTTGTGGTGAACAATTCATCTGTGCATGCCAATAAACAAAAATTAATTGTTACTCCCCTTGCAATTTAAAACTGAAATCAGAAAATGCACTTCCTGTTTGTTTTCAGTTTAAAGCTGCGTCCCAAATCGCATACTTATGCACTATTCTACGCCATTTTGTGGTATAAATAGTGTAAGTAGTGTGTTCACACTGAAAACTCTTAAAATAATAAGTGCACTTTAATTACCCGGATGATGCACTCATTCAGCCGCTAAAATGAAGTGTGTAATGATGGACACTTCACGCACTCAACAACCGCAGGTTTGCTTACGTAGCGGAAGGGGCGGAGCTATCGGACGCACATGTTGGATAACTTTATTTATTTTGGATGGAGAAAGCAAAATTCTCCTACGAGAGTGATTATAGCGCCTCCCGATGGTGAATGCGGCAATAATCACGGCAGGTATTATTTGATAATTCGGTCGTTTATTTCACTAATTTGGCAACCGTCAAACGTCATCAGGGAAACGGTTTGAATTTCCATTTAGTAAAAAAACATTAGTGTGCCATTTGGGACAACACTACATACATGTACTATCCTGTTGAGTGTGTAAGTGCATAAGTACATAGTGCATGAGTGCATAGTGTATAGTGTGCCATTTGGGACGCAGCTTAATTCTCAGACGACGTCAGTTTGAGGTATTGGGTGTGGCTAACATACCTAACCACGCCCCTCCAACAGTCAGTTTTGACAACAAACAGAAATGGTGAGCGGGAGGAGTCTGTTAGGTTATAACTCTCCCCAAACCCTTTTCCCGATGTTTCTGAATGAAACGCCTACTTCACTACATCCAATCAGCTCGCAGTAAAAAAAAAACAAGCCACGCCCACTGCTTTCTTAGTTAATTTTCCATTTTTTGCTACAAACTCTCACCGGACTCCTAGAAACTTGGGCTGTTCTCCAGGAGCGGACGTCTCGGTCTCCATCTTGAGCGAGTCGATGTGGGCGATGGAGATCACAGTCGCTGCGACATACCATGGTAAACCCAAGAACGAACACACAACCAGGAGAATCGACACCCAGAACAGGTCCAGATGATACCCGGCTCCTTTCTGCAGTCCAACAAGAAAAATAACATCTGTTAGATATTTGAAATGTAGTTCTCCATATGGTTTTGCCTTTATAGCAATGTATTGAAACAGCTTTCTGAATGAGAACAAATGTAGGGTGGGGCTTGATTTTGTATGTAGCAGTTAGATTAGATGGTTGTGGTTTGTTGTTGGCCTGAAGTATTTCTTACAAACTGCAAATAAGATGAATTGTGAAATGAAAATTGCACAGATTAATTATTCATAAAAAACATTGTAATATTGTAAAGAAAAGTAAGAATGGTTCATGTCATGATTTCACGGTGACTTTGAACACCAGTGATAGGAGTCAGGCAATAGCAGTGGTTTGCGTGCAGCAGGTAGTTGTAATCCTCTTCCTGTTTAATCCCTGATAATATTCACTCCGGGGAATTTGTGTGTATTTTTTTTAAGCTCAAACCTTGAGCTTGTGCTCTTTGCGGTTGACGATGACGGCTGTGATCTGCTGGTCCATGAAGATGAGGATGGTGACCAGCAAAGCGGGCAAGAAAGACGCCAGATAAACCCACCAAGGGTTTCCTCCAAACGGGGCCACAAACCAGCCTCGATGCGGACTCGTCGGCTGTTTAGAGTAACACATGAATTAAAAATACAGGAGAATAAGAAGCTAAAAACATAATCTGATCTCCATCATGTGAGGATAACCACCAACTATTATACATTTCACCGTAGATACACATTTTTTATTGATTATAAACACACAACTTGAGATTTTATTAGAAAACTATGTACATTGTTTTACCTTATTAATTGATAACAATACACAAGACACATATATTATATCTACTCAAATTCTATCTACAAAATTATTAATAAATATGGTGAAGCAATGTACATATATAATACACAAAGATATAAAAAAAAATTTATAACTTGCAAATGTATGTAAATATTGCATTTACACAAAAACATTAATTTATTTACACGTAATTACATTACACACACTAAATATGATATCTAAACATTTATAAAAAATCTGTGTGGTATCAGACATTAGAAATGTTCAGTGTAAAAAAGAAAACAACTTAAAATACATAAATATAAAGAATTTAGAAATTTTATTCTTCTTACCTCAATGACTGAAATTTATTTACTTACTTATAAACAAATATATTATAATAATTTATTTATTTACTTATAAACATAAATGTATTATTATTATAATGTATTTATTTATTTATTTATAAACAAATATATTCTCATAATTTATTTATTTACTTATAAACATAAATGTATTTTTATAATTTATTTATTTATTTATTTATTTATAAACAAATATATTTTCATAATTTATTTATTTATAAAAATAAATGTATTATTATAATTTTTCAGTTATTTATATTTATTTATTTATTTACTTATAAACAAATATATTATCATAATTTTTTATTTACTTACAAACAAATATATTATCATAACTTTTGTATTTACTTACAAACATAAATGTACTATAATAATTTATTCAGTTATTTATTTCTTTATTCACTAAAAACATAAATGTATTAAAAGAATTTATATATTTTTATATACTTATAAACATAAATGTATTATTATTATTATTATTATTTATTGTTTTCTAAACACAAATGTATTATTATAATTAATTAATTAATTACTTTATTTATTTATAAACAAATGTATTTGTTTAATTCATTTATTTATAAATATAATTGTATTTTTATAATTTATTTATTTACTTATTTTTTTATTTACTTATTTATTTACTTATAAACATAAATTTATTATTATAATTTATTTATTTATTATTTATTCATTCATTTTTATTTAAAACCACATCTTACATTTTCTTGATTTAAATTTTATAAATATAATTTTTATTTATATTCTATAAGCATGAGTTTATACTGTATGTGTGCATATGTAAAAATAAATTAACAATCCAGTGAAATTTGTATAATTTTTCAGATATTTTCTAATATATTTCAAATATTTATATAAGTGCAGTTTAACAAAGAGATTTCTTTTCAACACATTTTTAAACATAATTGGTTTAATAATTAATTTTGAATAACTAATTGATTTTGTATTGATATTAAAGTGCAATTTATAGGCTTAATTATTTCTGTTCTGTAGCCAATCTAAACAATAATAATACATTCTTAAGGGAGTCAATAATTTTGATCTTAGCATTTAATTTAATTTATTCCAGCCAAACTAAAAGAAATAAGACTTTCTCCAGTAGAAAAATATAAAAGGAAATGCTATAAAATCTGTTAAACATCAGCTGTGAAATATTTGAAAAATAATACAAATAAGGAATATAGTCACTGGCCACTTTATTAGGTACACCTGTCCAAGAGCTTGTTAACGCAAAAATCAAATGGCAAAAACCCAATGCATTTAGGCATGTAGACACAGTCAAGACAGTCAAAAATTCAAACCAACAGTCAAAGTTCAAACCGAGCCTCAGAATGGGGAAGAAAGATGATTTAAGTGACTTTGAACGTGGCATGGTTGTTCTCTGAGGAATATTTCCAGTCCCTTGTTGAATCTATGCCACAAAGTATTAAAGCAGTTCTGAAGGCAAAAGGGGGTCCAACCCAGTACTAGTAGGGTGTACCTAATAAAGTGGCCGGTGAGTGTATATAGTAATATATATAATAAATTACATATATAGTTTTTGTGTTTATAATAATCATAACATCCATCAGCAAACATTACATAATATCCAAACAACAAACATTACAAAATTCACGTTCATTACAGCGCAAACACACATTCAGACAGAAATATGAGCATCATAATTACTTTTTCAGCTCTGTTCTCTATTGATCTGTTCTGCTTTACATCGTCTGCTCTGCTTAGTTAATGTTTCTAATGAAAGACGCTATAAAGTGGACGTTGTATTGATTCAGCTCTATGTAAACGGAGCTTCTGCTGGAACAATACAAGCACACACTCGTACAGGACACACACTTGTGTCTAATGTTTGTTTCTCACACACATTCACACACTTGAATTAGAGGTTTGGAGTGCTTTGAAGGTATAATATTCCACTAATAAAGGATTACAGTAACACAGAGGGTCCTCACACAGAGATTAAAGTCTTTCAGCACAAATACACACCTTGAATTCACTCGGCACGATGAGTTTGGGTGTATCAACGCCGACCAGAGCGTCCACACCGCAGAAGATCAGAATGGCCAGAATAATGGCGAAATCACTGATCAGCTTGCGGACCTGCAGGCATAGAAACAACCCTTTACTATAGGATTCATACGGGTGCATACGGTAGACAAATTATGATTTAACAAGAATATTATTGAAGTTCCTGTAAGTTCATTATTTAAGCTCAAACATCATGAAAAACATAATATAGTCATTTAAAGTAAATACTATGGTCTTTTTGAACAATACTACAGTAAAGAGTGTTATACTGTATTACAGTATTTATAACTCTTTATTGATAGAACCTACCACATATAGTAGTATTGACTATAGTGAACTGGAATAGCGTAATAAACTTTGTATACTTTAGTTTTTACTACAGTAAACATAAGTGTAAATAAGTGTATTGTAGTATAATATAGCCAATTGTCCAGAAAATTGCAGTTTTGAGTCATTTTTTGATATTACTACAGTTGTTGTGTTACCATATCAACTCTAGAATCTAAAAACTCTAGAATCACCATATGTGTGTTTTAAGTGTTTGTGCCTTTTTTAAGTGTGTGTTTGTGTGGTGTCTATATATATATATATATATATATATATATATATGTATATATATGTATATATATGTATATATATGTATATATATGTATATATATGTATATATATATATTTTTTTTTTAATTGTTAACTTATTTTATTTTTTATGTATCTTTTTATTTTATTTTTAAAATCTTTTGTTTTATTTCATTTTCATTTTTATTCATCATTTTATTTATTTTTTTTAGTTAATTTAATTTAATTTTATTTAATGTAATTTATGCTTTTATTAAAAAGTTTACATTTAATTTATTTTAATTATCTTTTAAAAGTATTTTTCATTTATTTAATTTTGTTTTAACTTAATTTAACTTATTTTAATTTTGTATTTATTTTTTATTTTATTTTAAACATATTTTTATTTTAATTTAATTTAATACTAAATTATATTTATCTTTTAAAAATATTTTTTTATTTTAGCTTATTCAACTTTTTATTTTTTTTAAATAATTTTTATTTTATTAAAAAAATTATTAATCTTTTTATTTTATTTTTAAATATTTTTAATTCAATGTAACTTAATTTTTTATTTACTTTTTATTCATTCATCATTCATTCATCTTCTGCCGCTTTTCCCGGGCCGGTTTTTTTTATTTAATTTAATTTGATTTGATTTGATTTGATTTGATTTGATTTGATTTGATTTGATTTAATTTAATTTAATTTTATTTTATTATTTATATAAATAAATAATTTAAATAAATGATTTCATTTCATTTATTTAATTTTATTTTACAAGCTGCTCAGTAGTAAACAGCTTTTGTTAAATGCAATACTCGATAATAATAACTCAAACTCATCACTGATCGTCAACTCCAGGTTGATCGTCAACAGCAGAACTGAAAGTGAAAGCTGTAATCTTTTTAGCTGTAATCTCTCATTAGTGCAGATTAATGGAGGCTTAATGAGTGCAGATTGCTAATATGCTTCAGCATTTTTGTAAGGATCAGGGATGGACAATTTTCCATCACAGCTGCCAAAGCAAAAGACCACTTTAATGCAGAAGCAATGACTTTCAGATTGCAGTCTAAACCATAGTGTATGTGTGTGTGTGTATGTGTGTGTGTGTATGTGTGTGTGTGTTTTGCTCTATTCCTGTGAGGATGAGAGTCCTCATGAGTCTTGTATGAGACAGTGAAGCTCCTCATTAAGTGTCCTGGAGACGTGTGTGTGTGTGTGTGTGTGTATGTATGTGTGTGTTTGTGGATGTGTGCGCATTGTGTTTGTTTTTATGTGAGTGCGCTGGTGACGTGTGTGTGTGTGTGTGTCTATATGTGAGTGCCCTTGTGATGTGTAGCATCTGGATATTTGTGTTTGTGTGTGTGTGTGTGTGTGTGTGTGTGTGTGTTTGTTCATGTGTGGAATTTGTGTGTAAAAGCATGCACATGTGTGAGGTTTGTATTTCTGTATGTATGTGTGTGTATGTGTTTGTATGTGTGTACAATATGTGTAATGTCAGTTTGTATGTAAGTGTGTGTTTGTGTGGTATGTACATACAGTATGTGTGTAAGTGTGTGTGGTGTGTACTGTATGTATGAAAGCATGTTTGTGTATGTGTGAGAATGTGTGTTTGTGTGGAGTGAGTGTTTGTACGTGTGTGTGCTTGCAATAAGTATGTACAGTATGTGTGTGTGTTTTAAGTGTATGTGTCTGTTTATGTGTGTGTGGTGTCTATGTATGTACAGTGTGTGAGTTTACATGTCTAAGTGGGCACGTGTGAGAATGTCTGTGTGTGTGTGTTTGTGTGTGTGTGTATGTGTATTTTTGTGTGAGCGTGTGTGTTTTTGTGTTTGTATGTGTGAGTGTCTGTGTATATGTGTTTGAGAGTGTGTTTGTGCGTGTTTGTAGTGTGGTGTGTATGTACAGTATGTTTGAGTATGTGTTTGTGTGGTGTCTATGTATGTAGTGTGTGTGTCCATTTGTGTGTATAAGTGCGTGCATGTGTGATTGTGTGATTGTGTGTGTGTGTGTGTGTGCATTTGCTTGTATAAGTGTGTGCATGTGTGCCCGCGTGTGTGTGTGAGTGAATGTGTATTAGTGTGTGTTTGTGTGTGTATGTGTGAGAGTGTGTGTTTGTGGTGGGGTTGTGTATGTACAGTATGTTTGAGTGTGTGTGTAGTGTCTTTGTATGTATAGTGTGTATGTGTATATTTGTGCATTTGCGTGTATAGGTGAATGCATGTGTATAAGTGTGTGCATGTGTGCGCATGTGTGTGCATGTGTGTGCAAGCATGTGTGTTTATGTGTATAAGTGCGTGCATGTGTGCCCGCGTGTGTGTGTGTGTGTGTGTGTGAGTGAATGTGTGTGTGTTTGTGTGTGTATGTGTGAGAGTGTGTGTTTGTGGTGGGGTTGTGTAAGTATGTACAGTATGTTTGAGTGTGTGTGTGTAGTGTCTTTGTGTGTATAGTGTGTATGTGTATATTTGTGAATTTGCGTGTATAGGTGAGTGCATGTGTATAAGTGTGTGCATGTGTGTGCAAGCATGTGTGTTTATGTGTATAAGTGTGTGCATGTGTGCGCGCGTGTGTGTGTGTGTACCGTAGTGGGAAAGAATCTGCTGGTCTTGAACTTCTTGAGCCCCATGGAGCAGGCGTATGTGCCGAAGAACAGGATGAAAGACATGAGTGTGATGTCTGGGACGAAGTCACACGTCGCTCCCACCAGCTGACCCCCCCATTCCTGACACTCAGAGCGGGACAGAGACGCCCACGTCGCATTCAGGTGATGCTGCACACACGCACAAGCACACGCACGCACACACACAAATATATCATTTTCAATTGTAATAGTCAATGCAATTTATGGTCAATAGTATCTGAACTGAATTTGTGCAGTAACTCGTCAATAATGGGAGTTTAAGGGGCTGTTCACATATCACGTCTAAAAGCGTGTGGTAAGCTCATCACTTCCTTCACTATTTTCAATGTGCTTTCTGCTGGCACTCCTTGGTTTAAGGCAGCCATCAGCCATTTTCTTAGAGGATGACAAACTGACAAACCATTGCTGCAGCTCTGATACAAGTTTATCAATGGAGAAATTTAAAAAGCACTGCAGTGTTTGTTGTTCTGTGTTCATCTGAAATAATTAGTCTACTTAAATGTGTAAAGTATGAAGCTGATTGGTCAGTTCTTGTCACATGACTCGCGGTGGGTTAGCAGCATTCGGAAAAGTTGAGATGTTTTCATCTAGGGACGCCTGGAAAAAGCGAGCGCGGTGTGCAAGCGTGTGTTGCTCACAACATGCACTAACAAGCTCTAATTGAAATAATAAACTTGTGCGCACAAAAGATGCAATATGTGAACGGTCCTTCACTCATATGTGAGTGCTGATGCATTGTAGGTAGCTTAATGGTTCACCTGTCCAGTGTTGTTCATCAAGGCTTCCATTTTCTCCAAGTACAGGGCTGAAACGTTCCCTTTTGAAAGAAAAGATTAATGTTTATGATGTTTTAATGTTTTTTTTTGTTGATTTAAGGTTTTCTCTGAAATAAAATATTAATTACAACATTATGAAAATATAAACATGTTATAATACACAGCTATACACGTCATTAAACAAAGTAACTTTTTTCATCACAAATATGAAGATTAAACTGTTACTATTAATACATTAATATAATAATACTGATAACAAACCCCTTATAAAAGGGATTTTTGCATAATAGGTCCTGTTTATATATATATATATATATATATATATATATATATATATATATATATATATATATATATATATATGGATCCATGCTTTCATGTTGTTGACACTAAATTCTGACCCGACCATCCGAATGTTGCAGCAGAAATTAAGATTCATCAGACCAGGCAACATTTTTCCCAATCTTAAATAGTACAATTTTGTTGAGCCTGTGTGCATTGTGGACTCAGTTTCCTGTTCTTAGCTGACAGGAGTGGCACCCGGTGTGTCTTCTGCTGCTGTAGCCCATCCGTCTCAAGGTTGGATGTGTTGTGTGTTCAGAGATGCTCTTCTGCAGACCTCGGTTGAACCGAGTGGTTATTTGAGTTACTGTTGTCTTTCTATCAGCTGGAACCAGTCTGGCCATTCTTCTTTGACCTCTGGCATCAACAAGGCATTTGCGCCCACAGAACTGCCGCTCACTGGATATTTTCTCTTTTTCAGACCATTCTCTGTAAACCCTAGAGATGGTTGTGCGTGGTTGTGCCCCTGGGGGCTGGCTGCAGTACAAGTCATAAAGCCCGCCTCCTCCGTGTTAATGAAGGAGACTTGAGCCCAAATAAAAAAAATTATTTCACTTGCAATAAACTGTCCCGAAAGATGGTTCTGGTCGATTAAGGCACTGGTTATTGTGCTGAAATAGGTGCAGATCTTCATTTTTGTAAACAGTTTGTTTTTAGCAGTAATTTAATGCTGGGCGTGTCATCGTGATTGACAGCTGTGATTGACAGTTTCTCAAAGCAGCGCGTCTGAGCTTCGGCAGGAGACTGAAGTGTTTTTATTCGATTTCTGTGTTATTTTACCATGACAAAATGAGTTCAGCAGTAAACTACAGTTTCTGACATACATGATCCTGGTGGAACACTGTTTATTCGCTAAGGTCAGGGCTTTTTTCGGGCTTTATTAGTTTGCTGATACACGCCTAACCACCCAGATAGCAAAACACACTCAAGCCAGTTCCGGCTAGAGATTTACCCCTCAGAGCTCAGACTGACTACCTCTGCTGGACCTACTCCGGATGCCTGGACTCACTGCCCGATTCCAGCCCAAGTCAATCGAGCCAGATGCGGCGGCCGAGCGAGCCGGCGCTGCCGCATGCGAGCCGGAATCAGCCCGCGACGTCGCGAGTAGGTTATGCGCTGCGGCCCGGAGCTGGCGTGATTGAATATATAAAACCCTCATATTTGTTAACGTTATTACATCCATTTGTGTTGATATGACCGCAAACGCATGCTGAGAAGTTCGGGGGCGTGGTTGATTTTACATAAAGCGTTTGGTTGGAAGCTCGACTCCGCTCATTTTCGCGGCTCCTCCTCTGGCTCCATCAGACAATCCTTCTGCGCATGTCAAGGCTCCAATTTCAGCAGTCTTTTGCGACAGTTTGTGCCCGTCAAGCAGGCGTTTTGCCCTCAAGGCGTTCAATGGGAAAAGGGGCTGTCGCGTCGTCCATATTTTTTACAGTCATTGGTTTAAACACAGTTGTGTGGAACAGTCTTTGAATATGACAGCTTTTAATAGTAAAAATGTATTAATGTAATTTTTTATAATCACACTTGATCAACACTAACAAAAACACTTTGATTGCATTCATCATTCAACATACGTGTCATCAGAGGGGAAAAGCCCCGCCCATTAGTGACCATCTCTCTTTCACTAACATAGGACATTAGTCTTGTTTTTGAATCTGCACTATGCTGATACGTATGCATTTGTAGCTCCGCCCTCTTTTGAAAAGAGCACAATCTCATTTGAATTTAAAGTGACAGTCACCAAAACTGCACAGCAAAGCCTAAAAGGGACCGTTTCAAAGATTTATAAAACATTATCTGTGGGGTACTTTAAGCTGAAACTTCACACACACACACTTTAGGGACATTAAAACTTATCTTACATCTTGTAAAAATGGACATCATTAGT